CAACATCAAATTTAATACTTGCAACTAAAACTGTACTCACCGTTAATAGTGTATTCTCAAAACTTAAGGATAAAACACCAATGCTATCTTGGACTGATGTAGTCTACAATATCTCTTGTGTGGATTGTAACTCATTATACATAGGTCAAACTGCAAGACCATTAAAAGACCGCATAACATCCCACAAGAGCGACTGCAGACTACACCCAGATTGTTGTGCATTAGCAAATCATGCAATTTCGAATATCCATACCTTCAACTTCCAGGATATCAAAGTTTTAGAAAAGAACCTCGCCTAGACAAAAGACTTTTCTTAGAAATGACATAGATTGCTCAAAATGACCGCATTAACAAAAGATCTGATATTAAACATCTCACAATCAGTGAAATTTTTGCATACTTATTGTTCTTGGATAAAAATCTTTCTTCACGTACCAATTTAATTGATAATAATAATAATAATCTCAATTTAACTGAAATTTAAATTCATAATTCATTTAATCATTAAAACTCTTATGAGAGCTTGCTTTTCTGAAAACTGTTTATCATATTTCAAAAATAGTCTTCAACAATATTTGGTAACATTTCAATTTGTCATAAATGTAACATTTGACCTAACCACTATAATGTACGATAATTATGTCTCTCTCCGAATCAAAGGTTGTAGATGAGGAGTCTCATTAGCCCCCCACTGCCACCTCTACGAGTTTCAATACGTGGTAGGCCTCATTAACCGACCATTCATTGAACTCTCACCAGTTTTAAGGGATTGAGGAAACAGACATGGTTGTCGTCATTACTATAAATTTTAACTATGTTTCATTAAAAATACCATAATTCTTAAATCAATAATTAAAACTTTCAGCAATCTTCTCTTTCAATTCAATTGTATATAACACGTACGCCTCCCATTAAGAAAGGGTGGTCGGGAATAAAGTCTCATTAGCTTTATGCAACCCACTTTGATTTTAAATAATTATATCTAGTCTAGTTATAATTACTATAATAATTTTCATCAATTTCACGAACCAATCTCACTAAGTTGTTCATCATTCAATTTTAACTATTTCCTTTAATAAATATTCTAGATCCCTGAAGATGAATGTATTCACATTCGAAAGCTTGGAGTACACATATCGTTTTGCTGCAAACCCAATAACTCAAGTTCATATATAAAAAAATTCGTTAAAAAAAGTGTGACCCCATCATTAGAAATCGCTCATGTGGCACACTCTGTATCAAAATAATAAATTAAATTATAATAAATGAAAAAATAGTTCCCTGTATAGTTTGTATAATTTTGAAATGTGCATATATACAATGTTCATAAAAATTTAGATTTATTTACACCGATGGATAACTATGATGTAAATACAAGATAAAAAAAAATAACAAAAATAAAATAAAATACAACCAATAAAATAATTTAAGAGAAGATATCTGACTTTTTATATTATTTTGTATACTGATTTTAAATAATTTTGTTTGTTTAAATATGGGCCTTTTATATCTTTTTGGACTTAGGTTAAATAGGATGAAATTTTTATACAATTATTGTAAATTGTGTGTAACGATTTATAATAAATAAATAACTAAAAATTAATCCCAAAAAGCGGCTTAGAGTGAAAGGACATTCTAGAATCTAAGGATAAATTAGGTTCAAAAATATTAAAAGAAAATGGTATCAGATCTAACATATAAAGATAATGAGATTGGACTTGGTAGTGACATATTTGGCGAATTTAATAGTTTTCTAGTGAGTAAAAAACTGGATCAACCCTCGTATCTATTAAGTAGGTATATAATTTAATAAGTTTTCTATTGAATATAACCTTGCCCAACGCCTAGAATGAATTGCATTTAGTATCCGCATGCCTATGAATGGTTAGATACAGAACAAAATAGAGGAAAGAGACTGAAAAATATTAATATTAAGTATTATGTGACATATGCGGTTAGTACCAGTCGTTTCGGTCATACTCGGTAGAAATCAATTGCTGAAACCGGATGTGATTGTTTCAGTTACAATTGATAGCAACAAATGGACTCAGGGACTTTCACATGCATATGAATATTATTAAGTTATGTAAACTTGCGACCGTATAGTTATTAAAACTGGATCAGATGATAAATGATTAGGCTTGTACGCTTTTACCCATTTTAACAATTAATTTATTATTATTATTTATTTACCATTACTCAATAAGTACCAATAATGCACTTGTTTTGAGAACAAATAATATAAAAAGGAAGAAGAAAAAATACATATAAAATTAATGTTTCATCAATAATTTGGGTTTAAATTTTATGTGGGCAAGATACATTTTTGCGAGACCCTCTGGTGGCGCAAGAAGACGGATTTTATAAAGAGAAATAAAATTGAAACTTGTATTCATAAAAATGCTAACATGTCTTAGACCTTAACTAATATTATTAAGTAATTATTACTAGTAGTAAAGAATTACAGAAACATAAATTTCCTGCTTTTAGCTTTACTGAACTCCTGTACCATAATCCAGGTTAGATGCTATATCTGCTTCAATAGATAAAATTGACAATGGTAAAAGTCTTTGCTAGCCCATTGTACTTCTTAATTTTTTATTAGTTTTAATTTTGAAAAGCTTTTTTCAGCAGAAGCTGTACTTACTGGTACAGTTAACAAAATTTGAAGGACAATATAAATATTTGGATAAATTTCTTTCAACTTATTTTCTATTATATATTGGAGTAGCTGTTTTACACCTTTAATGAAATCAGTTAAATTTGGAATCATTATTTGTAAATCTTCATAAAATTCGTAAAGTTTGAAATCACTGCTATCACCCACTCGAGAACGGTCCACTTTAAATAATTTTAAAGGTGATGCTTTTAAAAATCATATAAAGGGGGACGTCTTAGGAAAGAAATAGAAAAGAAAAAAAGAAAAAAAAGGAAAAGGAAAGAAAGGGAAAGAGCGCAAACAAAAACGCAAAAGATACACCTTTCAAATGATTCACTTTTCACCTCTGGAATCGAATATTAGAGGAGAATAAAAAAAAAGAAAACCAAATCGGAACGTTCTGTTAAATATAATAATTCGATATTAAATTTTTAATATAATTATATTGTTTTATAAATAAAGTAGTTTATTTTTAATATTCGTGCATAGATCGATTGCCAAAGAGAAGTTTTAAATTGACACACTGTATGTGCGCAATAGTTTAAATATTTCACTTTAACGAGCAAAACTTTTAAAGGTTCTAACCATAAAACCATTATTTTTACTTGTTTTAGTTCAATGGACGGGTTTACTTTTTATTTAATATTTTTCCCTTTCAATCAGTGGAGCTCATTCTCACATCAAAATCTGTTTATACAAACAGAAAACAAAATAAGCGAATATATGGCCATTTACAGGATTCTACCAATTTAGCATACCTACTCAGTGAAAATTCTAGTTTGTGCAACAAGAGTAGATATGGACAATCCACTCGAGTTGTACAGTATATTTTTTCTACGACCCACTAACAAAAATCTAAAAATTTAAAAAATTATTTTAGGTTGTTAAGACAAAATAATTAAAAAAAAAAATTCCCGAGCCCAAATTCGAACCCTGACTATTCGCGTAGAAGGCAGATGCTCTGCCCACAGCTCCACGGCCACTTTTGTGATTTTAGTTTTAATACTCGTAATTAAATTAGTTTCATAAAGTTTAATAAAATTTTTCAAAATGTTAACCAAATAAAAATAAAAATGCTGTTATTTATCGTTTCTACACAAAAATAACTTTTGTTTTAATGTATATTTAATCTTAATAACCAAAAAATATAATGGCAATTAGTTTGACAGAATTATCACTTATTTAAAATTTTAAAAATAATGGTAGTTGGGTGTCCAAAATGTGAACTGTGATTGGTGGATTTCATTTTTTTGCAGTGTTCTTACTACCTAGAATGGATATGAAATATATTCGTTCAGTTGAACGCAATAACATACTTTTTTGTTTTGTAATCTGAGCGTAGATAAGCTAATATCCATGTGGGTATAGAAAAACGATATTACCTATTTGTTATTTCACTACGGCGCCACTTCGAGAGATATATATTGGAACAAAAAACAGATTTTGATAATATTCAGAATTTGGCATTCTTTCTTATTTAAAATAATTCGTTTGAAAGTTAACATTCTTTTATATGATTTTTCTTACATATAGGTAGGTCAGATGTGAGAAGGAAACAAAATAAATATTTTTCATAAGTTAAAGAAAGCTGCATTAAACCGAAATATCGCTCTTCTGCTGTTTAATGAAGACAAGAACGCGTTCTGGACTTTCTACAATTACCAAAACTCGTCGATTCGGGATATTCGGACGTGACATGTGACATTAGTTGGTTTGTAATATTATTATAATGATAATGATATCAATCGAAATTCGAGGTTAACCTTATGTTTATTACATTTTACATTTATTAATATTACCCCATTACAAACTAACAGTGATATAGAATCAGAAGAATAAAATAAACAACAAGAAGACGAAGCAACGCTTTCTAGTGGGAAAATACCAACCCATACCTGGCTACGCCGACTGGCATAAACTCCAACGTCCTGGACACGGCTCAAATGGTTGTATGTTGAAGAAGTGAGAAACGAGTAAAAAAGTTTAATAATTGCCATCAATAATTTGCAAGTTAAAATGTTAGATTAGAATTGATGTCTATTTTAAAATTTAAATGTCATACTTATAAAATACTCATAAAAGTTCATAAGTGGAAGGTAAATTTACTAAAATATAAAATTGAATTTTTATTTAGAAAAAGTATCACTTTATGAAATAATTAAATAGAGATACATTCTAAATATTAATCTTTAAAACACTGAATATAATTTTTGCCTGTAATACACTTATAAAATAGGTATGTATATATACGTACAATTGTGAATCCGCTTTTTGAGTATTTATGTTTACTTGTTTTAAAAGTTAGAAATATAATAACAATAACATTTAATTCAAAATTGTGCTAGGATATTTTATGTTTCCCTTTAGAACGTCAGAGAAAGGTTGACCAATACACAACGTTCAAAATTAGGAAAGAAAACGGAAAGAAAAATCTTGAAAATTGATCGATACATATAGCTATGCTTTTTCCATCGCAGAATGTTTCATACTGAGGCTGGCTCACCGAGCTGAAGCGTGGTCTCTCCATGTCCTGCAAAATTTAAATTAATTGTTTATGTAAGAATGTGCATTTGCAAAGTTGCTTTGGTCTTGGCACACTCAGTATGGTGCAAATGAAAGGAATACATTCATTATTTCGTAACTCGTTGACCCAAGGCACACTCCTAGGACCAGTAGATACTATTTCCCAGTTATATAAACTCCCTGCTTTAATGATTTTGCTAACGTCATTTTTCTATGTCAATTTGTAGACCGAAATTAAACAAAATGCATAAAATGACCTAAAAAAACATAACAACTGGTCGACGTCTCGAAAAAAAAGGAATATCTAACAGAACGCCAATTTGAAAATAAAAATCAACGGATTTCAGAAATTACAGAACAATGAATTTACACCTTTCATTTGCACATTACAAGAAACAAAGGTTCTCTCATATAACAACTTTTTTGGCGTCTCCAATCCAATACTATTTTAAAAAAAAAATCTGATTTGTAAGTTCGCTATTTAGAGACACTCTGTAGATTTCATGAAATAAAGAGTTTATCGCGTAAATAAAGAAATTGAATACAAAATTATTACGACATTAGAATCCTTCGTAAAAACATTATTAGTTATAGGACTGAGTAATACAAAGCATGCCTAATTAAGTGCTTTTGAAATTGTAGTGCGTTTACATTATAATTCCAATAATTAATTTAAATTAATTCAAATTGAAATTTAATTTAGCGTGACAATTTAGTCGAGAGTTTACACGATCCATCTTTACAAATATAAGGATTTTTCCTATCAAATTATTTTGATAACTAAATTTATTTTATGTATGTTGTAAATTTCCTCATTACCTTGTATTCGTTTATTTCTGAAGTAATATCTTCATCGGAATATCCTTTCATTGCTTTAGTAGCTACCGGTCCCATATAATTGTTGACCACAGCGAATTCCATCAGGGACATAAATACAAAAACTGAACAGCTTGACATCCAGACATCGATTGCTTTCACGTATGATACGGGAGGCAATGATTGCTGTGATTGTGTATTTTGAGTTGCTAGAAAAACCATATTTTTTGTTTAAAAAATTAAGTTAAAAAAATGTATTTTTACTACTTTTGCTTAAATGACTAATCCAAATGCAATAAAAAGTTCCACCAGGAGTCACCTTAATCCTAACTTACTTATTTAGGAAAATATATTAAAGTAGGGTGGTGGATAAACAGAGTTATTTTAATCAGCGACCGGTTTCGGACTGGAACTCTCAAACAATAGTCTACAGCCAAGAGTATGAAACTGCAGAAAGGGTAGTCACAGTAGAAAGTAACATGGGCAATACGCACCTTCAACCCGCTCAAATCACTGGGACCAGATGGGATATTGCCTGTGCTTCTGCAACAGGCAATATAAACACTGGTTCCGCATATTTGTAGGCTCTACAGGGCAAGTTTGGCACATAAACATGTACCAAATACCTGGAAACAAAGCAGGGCCGTGACAAAGGCCCACAGAGCAATAACTCTGACGTCATATTTTTATTAAAAGAATTGGAAAAACTGATTGATCAGCATGTCCGGCAAGCCACCCTGATAGAGAGGCCTTTTCATACTAACCAACATGCCTATTAAGCAGGAAAATATTGTGAGTCTGCTCTGCATCATCTTGTAACCAAGATAAAGGGGGAACTCAGTAGTTAAGAAATAGTCCTTGCAGCATTTTTTGACGTAGAAGGAGCTTTTGATAATACCTCCTTTAAATTAATCGAAGACATCATCTGCTGGTGGATAGAGTATATGTTGCGTGGACGGAAAGTACAGTCATAAATGTTCAGAGAAACTATGCAGGTTAATATCCATAGGGGATGCCTTTTTCTTTTACTGTGGAACTGGTAGGAACACTGAATAAGCAAGGGCTGTACGCCCAAGGATACGCCGATGACATAGTTATTCTTATCCGAGGGAAAATCCAAACCAGTCTTCGAACTCATGCAAAGAACTCTAAGGCTGACAGAAATGTGATGCGTGATGGTAAAGCCTGACAAGGTACAATTTATAACCTTTACTTGGAAAACAAGGTTGGAGGTCTCACAAACTCCGACCCTATTTGGAGGAAAGCTAAAAAGAACAAACCCAGTAAAATATCTGAATCTTATCCTAGATAGCAAATTTACTTGGAACCAACACTTACAAAAAGTGACCAATAAATGTAGGGAGACGGGCATTTAGGAAAACATGGGTTTTAAAACCAAAAATGGTCCACTAGCTATATTCGGCAATAACAAGACCCATGATAACTTATGGAGCGTTTGTTTAATGTCCAAAAGTAAACCAGAAATAGTCCTCAATGCCCTCTCAGGAGTACAGAGGCCGGCAAGCCTATATATTATAAAAGCAATGAGAAGTACTGCCTCTATGGAAATCATTCTAAACCTCCCACCCCTTTACCTAGTCATAAATGGGGAGGCCAAAATGAGTACATACGGGCTGGACATCTCCAACAACTGGAACCCACTGGGACATAAAAACATACCAAAATAACACCTGAGGTAAATGATCCTATATTAAACATGGGATCAGATCATATGACACCCCGCCTAACCTTCAACAGACTCTTCCAGGTCAACTGCAACTGGAACGAGGTAAATAAGGAGGTAGAGAAATTCTTGCTTAGCGATCTCGTATGGTATACGAATGGAAATAAAATTAACAAGGAAACAAGCTCTGGCGTACATGGAGTTAAACCCAAATGCGATATAATAGTCTCTCTGGAAAAACGTAACACTGTATTTCAGGCTGAAATACATGCAGTCAAATTGTTTGTACGAGATAATTTAAGAAGGAAGTACAAAAAGCAAACCATCTTAATTGTTTAAGATAACCAAGCAACCTTAAAGGCCCTTGGTTTAAACAGAATCAAGTCAAAGCTGGTCTGGAACTGCCTTAGAATACTAAATGATCTGGCAATCCACAATAATGTAAAACTAGCGTGGCTACCAGGATACAAATGTATCCAAGAAAATAAAAAGTCTGATGAACTCGCCAAAGAGGGATCATAACTACCATTCACAGGACCCGAACCTGTATTTGGGACAAGCAAAACCTCTGCTTGACAGGAAGTGAACAGGTGGATAACTACAAAACACCAAATTCACTGGCAATAGATAAGATGACACAGAATCAGTAATATCATGCTAAGGGGACCAAACCCGCGCATGGCTACTGAGATACTCGCAGGGCCTCAGATAATCTACCATTGTAGGATTACTAACGGGACATTTCTTACTGAAATACCTTCATGTGATGGGATTACATAATAATTCCACCACATGTAGACTCTGAATGGAAGAGAAAGAAATCTCATACCACGTTATCCTCGAATGCGAAGTTCTTACTAGGCGACGTCTCATTCTTTTCGACCTGGAACCGGAAAGAACGCCTCAGGAACACTTGGTAGGGAACTTAGTAAAACTAATCAAAGGCACAGGATTATTCCAAAGATAGCACCTGAATACGGGGAAAACAGGGAAATACAATAGACCCAAGAGACCAGTGGCGCATCCAGAGTTTAAGTCTGGGGGTAGTAGAAATAAAGTTTAAATCTGGGGGGACAGTGATAATATTTAAGATCTTATTTTTGATAATAATACATTTTAGTACCTATAAAAATTATTGGAGGGTAATTACCCCCTTCCGTATATGCGCCCCTGCAAGAGGCCGTAGTGTTCTACCTACCTGCTTATGACCGGTTTTGATTTTTTGTTTTTTTTTTGTTTTCGTTTTTATTAGAACTAAAAACTATTCGTCAAACTGCGTTTGTTGATATAAAAAGCACAAATTCTCGTATATTTTCCCATGTACATTTTGAAACCGATTGAAAGAATCTGAATAATTATGACTTTGTGGTATTAATGACAATGTTCTCAATCTAATTCTTGAGAAATATTGGATGCAATAATCTCACCTTATAATATTACAATACAAATTATTGGAAGGCGATGAAGAAATACATTTAACCAATAAAATAACCTACAAACAATAGTCTTATTAATACAGAGCGAACGTTATCTAATAACAGTGAAAAAAATTTGTAGAAAAACGTGTTAACAAAACCGATAAATTGTAGGCGTTTAATCAGAAAGTGTTTTCCTTTAGGGCTTTTTTCAGTTTCAATTGTAGAACAATCATTTATGTGTCGTTACACATTCATAACATTTGGTGAACCATAAACATTTTATCTGAATAAGGAAAGGACCAGGTGCTGAAATTGTAATAAGGAACTATTACTAGTAATATGGTGTACAACACTCTTAGGAACACATTTTATTTTAATGAAAAAATATAGATATTTTCAAGCTGGCCCTTGTAGAAACTATATTATTGCTTATAAGGATTTATTTTGAAATAGCGCTTTTAGAAATATTGATTTTTTTACTAAAAACATGCACTCAATAAGTTTAGTAAAAACAGGCCTATTATTATTACAATCATTTAAAACTGTAATAACTTTCTTGGGTTATGCTCGAGTAGTTAGCAAAATTATCGATACACGAGTATTGTACATAACGAAACACTAATTTATGTGTATTGGACTATACCTAACTTATCAAAATCGATATTGTCTAGGTACGCAAATTGAAAACTAATAATCTGCCAGGAGAACGATTTTGATTGAACTGCAGTGAATATACTCCAAAAAAATAAATTTACAAGTTAAAAAAATATTAGTAGGTAGGTATATAATATAAATACATTTTATATACCTACGCCAATAAATATAATTGCAATTAACTTTAATAAAAGTTGGTAAGAAATATAATCGAGAAAACGAGAAGAATGAAATGTCAAGGACTATTACAAAGTTAACCACACGAATTTTATGTAACAATTAATTAATCTACAGAATGAGTTAAGTCGGAAAGGATGCATACCGAAATTTTTCTTTTGCTATTAATCAAAATAATGAAAAGGAAACTTCCGATGAATACTGAACTTTCTCCCATCTAAAACAATACTTTTGTACTTGTACCACTTTTCCACTCAGATTCATATCGATTTCGACTCTTTTAACAATTAAGTACTATCTATACAAATTGAAAAATTATTTGACCATAACAGGATATTCTTCACATAATGCAAACAACTTTATTTAAAATTAAGAATGGAACGGAACATTTATACGACGTTTGTGTTCAAGTTTTTCAAATACGAGTGTCATACAATAACAATGAAATTGTCTTAATCTTTTAAAACGATGTTTTCAAACAAATAATGTTTTGTTTTAAAGTTGTATAACCTCACTATTTTTTTTTATTATAGGAAAAACAATTAATTATTAATAGCTTAATTTTCGAAAAAGAAACAATGTATAAAATAAAGAAAAAAAACTCCAATTCTCAAAAGTGATCAATTTAAAAATAAAAACAAATGAAAAAGAGAGACAAACTTTGAGTCCGTGTTACAGAAACATCGAGCGACCGTTGTTCTCCTAAAAACAACTACTCCTTTGGCTAATAACGCACAACAGGCTTTACATCAAAAAGGAAAATAGCAGAGATGGAAAATAATTTTCAACACTTTAACTCTCTTTGATTTTGCTTTCTAATGAGAAGATTATTCTTGGTCCGGTTTCGTCCTTATTAGGACTCATCAGTAAGCAATAGACAATCTTGACTCCAGTCTCTCAAATAGTCTTCCAGATGTGTTACATTCATTCGCCTACATTGATGTTGAAACACTGTAGGGTGTAGGTAGTCAACGAGTAAAAATGGTAACGCCATCTGCATTTGGAAAGCAAAATGCTGATAAGACCTAATGAGAACGAAACCGGTCCAAGAATGATATTCTCCTTAGGAAGCAAAATCAAAGTTGGAGTGTTGCATATTTTCTTTCTTTGCTATTTTCCTTTATATTTTGTTGATTAGTTTTTGAAACGCTTTTTATTTTCTAAAATATAAAATGTAAATAATTTTTGCTATGATCACTCCTATGATCAGACGTCTAATTTCTGTTTTGATTGATGAAATGTCCATTTTAATAGTAAAATCGCTTTGATGATTAATTTTTAAAAATAGATCTTGGATGTTTTCGTTTAACCAATTATTAAAAGAATTTTAAATTAACTACCTACATTATTTTTGCTCTTTTCTGGTCCATATACATTTTTAATTAGATAAGTCAAATAACAAAGCTGTGATAGCGTAGATGGTTTAGAATCTGATTTTTTCAAATTTACTTTTCGTGACTATTTCGTAACGCTGATGTTCAATTCCCAATTAATTGTCTTTTTTTTAATATAAAAATTGGAAAAATACGACTATTGTTGTTTATTTATTTAAAATAAATGTTATTTATCATAATACATTATTTTGTAATATTTTAATTACTGTTTAGAAAAAAATTGTCAGTAGAGAAGTGGGTAATCATTAATAATAAAAAAGTTTTTGTTCACAGTTATTCAACTTATTTGATTCAAAAAAATAATAAACTAATAAAAAATATTAACGTATTCTAATATTTTTTGTAACTAATTTTTTTTATCTTTATCATCCTATAAAAATTTTATAAATGCAATCTCAATATTTTTAATTTTGGCGAAAACTCTTTAAAAATTAGTCAATAAGGCACATAAAAAAACAAATCTAAAACCATCCACATCTTGATGGAACCTTTATAGCCAGATTTGCTAGTTTTAAATTTTTTTGATTAAATTATTTTGTGGTCGTAGGAAAATTATTGTACATCTTTTGTGTTAAAGTGATTTTTCACACTCGTATATATTTTAAACGAGGTTATTAAGAAAAGTAAATAAAATTTGTACAATTTTTTTTTAATATCCTCAAATACTTTTTTATGCTAGATAGGTAAATATATATATTAGTTTGTTTAATTCTTATTACCTAGGTATATAATGTTTTCATGTTTAAAACAGAGGCGTGTCTAACGAGCGCGGTGCTGGAGGGCCCCGGGCTATTTGGGGGCGCCCAATTTTAACTAGGTATTCTCATAAAATATTTTTTTCACTCATGTCAGTTAAAACATTTTTCGTATTTTTTGCAACCATTAAGTGCATTGGAAATGATAACAATTTAACGAACTTTTTTTTATTATTAGTTCTAAGTTTTGGTTTTACTTGAACCAGGGTATGGTTATTTTTTATATTTGGTTAATTTTTGTTTTGTGTTTATTAGTTAGTCTTTATTTTGTTTTTATTTATTTACTTTTTACTTTATATTATGGTCTTTAATATTTTTTAATGACATTTTTGTTTACTTATTTTTTCGGAAAAAATGTGCGGGGTGAGGAAAGTTTTGCGGGTGGGCCTAAAATAAACTCGGTACGCCCCTGGTTCAAATTAAATACTCAATTTACTATTATGTATTTCTTACAATTCTACTATTACATAAGTTTTTAATAGGTATATTTTGTAAAAATACAAATCCTTGCTGTAAACTTAAATGTTTTAGAGAAGCAATAAAGTATTATTATATTATTCTTCAGATAATGCAAACAACTTTATTTAAAATTAAGATTCAAACGAAATAACGTTTGTGTTAAAGTTTTTTAAATACGAGTGTCGTACGATAGCAATGAAATTGTCCTCCTCTTTAAAATAATCCTTTAACGATGTTTTCAAAGCCCCCTGTACAAACACATTATATTTTATTTTAAAATTGAACGATATTTACGACGAGACTATCAGAATGGCAATTTGTTTTATAGCTAGTCGTGATAAAACTGCTCTTCTTATTTTACATCTAGAAGGAAAGTGATGACATAGTTGTTATTTGATATATTTCCAGTGTGTTCTTAGACATACTTTCGATAGCACTAGACGCAGAGAAAGCTCTAAAAACATTAATAAGTTCAATATCAAACTTTCTTATCAATAAATGGTAAACAGTGATGCAATCTCTTATCATTCCTGGTACGGGGAATAATCTAAAATAAAGTGTTTTTCAAATAAACAATTGATTGGATTTTGCGATTTACAGACTGAGATTTTTCACAATTCTTAAGTTTGTTAGAAACAAACCAGTTTTCAGCTTTTCCTTCAATTTCTTTTTATTTGTCCGGTAGAGGAAAAAATGTTCAAGAAAGTAGTATCGTCAGCAAACAATATACTTTTATCAGTTGATATGTAGTCAAAAAGGTAATTTTTATGTATATAAAAAAATGAATGATCCCCAAAACGGATCCTTGCGGTATACCATGTTTTATTTCTCTAAATCAGGAAATATTATTATTAGATACAACACCTTGAGAGCGACCAGATATAAAAGTTCGTATGAGTTCCAAAGGGATAACTCTTAGGTCATAATGTATTAGTTTATCCAGCATAATATCGTGGAATGTGCAATAGAAAGCCTTAGACAAATTATTACATAAGGTTGTACGTACATGATATCCTTGTTCAATGTACTCTACTATACATTCCACAACTTTTATAACAGTTGGTACGAAATTTAAATTTGAATTTAATAAAAAAAAATACTTTAAAAATGAGTTCCTACTTAATTAATTTTTTTCTCTTGTTAAGTTATTGATATAGATCTCCAAGAATCTAAAAAAATTCGCTACGTTGCGATAGATTAAATTAGATTTCGTTGGGACTGTGGGCTATGTAGCCTCTCCCATCTCGACCTTTTGTGGATATCCTTTAATCGTTGGTTAGAGTACCTTGTCTAGTTTGATAGTAGACTCCATAGACTAGGAAGTATCTCTCCGGCGTAGCAAGTTGCCCTTGTTTTTTTTTTCTCCCAGTGTAAGAAATATCAGTCTTGATAAAGATCTTCGCAGTAGTATAATACGTTTGCAGTTTTCTCGTCTTCCTGTCAGGATCGGCACAAGATTTCTTCTGCCAGGCCAATTATAAACATATAGTAAGCCTCCAATGCCCTGTTAATAAGTCTATTAGAACTGTAGTGTTTTTCCTATTATGACTTGTTCGATGAGTTTTGGTGATGGACCTTTTAAGAACCCTGCTTCTGTCCTGACTAATCCACTGCTTTGTTCATGTTCTGATAGCTGTCTTTGCGACACTACAGAAGGGTTCTGCGTCAATAAGAGCCTGTGTGGCTCCTTCTCGGGCTAGTAAATTATCTTTATTGCCCTGATGTCTTCTGTGGGCTGGTGGCCAGGCTCTTTTGACTACCCAGCTCTGTTATGTCCAAACAGTCCCACACAAGCTTTTAGTGTACTTGCATGTAACTGAGTGCTTTTAACGTCCCTTGACTGTGGTTGCACAGTGGTGTATTGCTACTATTTCTGCCTAGAATACTGTTGCATGTTTGCCTAAGCTCAGTGAGATTCTTGTCTCTGGCTTGGCACTATAAATAACTACTTCTGATCCTTCATGGTTTTTGAAGCCGTCTGTATACCAGGTCATTTCTGCGTCAATAGGAGGTCCTCTCATCTGGTATATTTACTTTATTTTGCTATATTTTAGGAGCATTTCGTCTGAAGTCATTCCCATTATTTGTATAGCTCGCTGTAGTCACGTACGCGGTAGAATCCTGAACTGATTCTGAATTAATAGTAATTTTTCGCATGCGCAGTAGTTACAACTGAACTCGTGTTTCTAATTCTGCATTAGCGATAAAACTAATTCCATTTGTTATTGTTTCTGAACCGCTTATGATAGTTCTAAATCAGTTCAGGATTCTTTTCGTAAACGAAGCTATTGTTATCTACCAAAATCTTTATTTCCTATTTTTGAAAATAATGAATCCTGTTATATTTCCTCAAAAATTTTAATGAAAAAAAAAATTATAATAGTAGAAAATGATTTAGAGTATTTATTAGGGTTTCGGTCTCGATTCGATCTTATCGAGAATCGATCTTATATCGGTGGATATCGATTCTAGCCCACCTCTTACACTATGTCCATGTACTTTTTGGGTATTTTGTGGTTGCCATAAACGAATTTGAAGACAACGGGTCCTATTAAATATTGGCATTCATAGTCAAATTCTTTTCAACAATTTATGAAAAGTTGCTCAAAAGTATTTATATGTGTTGCGGCTCTATCCGAGAGACTATTTTCTCAGGAAACCTTATGACTCCTGATAGAAAAAGTAGAAAATAGAATTTGAATATTAACACTTTCTAAATATTCTAATTTTTAAATTCCAAATTTTAAAGAATATGTTTATTTTTAAAATAAAGATTAAATTTTTTTGTTTATTTTTTTATTGATTAAATTTAATTTTATATTTTACATAGAATGAATCAATCTTCGATCTATCAGAGATCAATATTTTTTCCTCCCGATTTTTCTTTTATCGATCTTTGGCTCCACTATTTGAATCGGTACTAAGAATCGATGTTTCTTGCCGAGATCGGAAACTCTAGTATTTATTCGAGCAATTAATATTTGAAAAAAAAAATAGTAATAGCATAATTTGCAATTTAAAAATAATAATGATGGTGATGATCAGTGATCGCAAATATTTAGAAGAAGACATAAGTAGATAGTAATATAGGTAGATAAATGCATATTACCTAATGTCAGCAATGACGTGACACCGAGAGTGACTCGTGCTGGAATGGCTTCAGGCTTGATCCAAAACGAAATCCACGACATCACCACAATCAACGCCGATGGAATATAGGTGTGAAACAAATGATAGCCGAGTCTTCTTCGCAAATTAAAGACCACCGCCAAGCATGTAAAGTTTCCTGTAATCAGTAACAAGTACGAAATTTTTATCCATTGCCAACGATTATGAGCCAATGTGTTATTATTTTCTTATTGCATAAACCAGAAATGTTAATGTGGATTAATTACTTCGTTGTTGAGCACTAATTAATTTAATACCGGTGCATTACAATGAAACTAGGAAAATGCTACAAGATGATCGTTTAAACGATTACACTTTATTAAGACAATTTAATCATAATGGAAGCCAAGCAATACAGGACGCCTAAGCTCTGCATTATTAACAAATCGATTATTTTTTAAGCTGTAACATGTTTACTATGAGCGGATTCAAAATTTTATATTTACATTTGGTGGCACTAATAAAATATTTTTTACGTCCGTCATAAAACTAAGTTTTTTAATCAATTTATGTTCATAAAATATATAATTCGTGAATGGATAAAAAAGTGCCGTATCAGTTAATTTTGCGTTAAAAAAAGAATGTCGTTACGTGTCACTTTTTTCGCACATAAGTAATGCGAAATTGTCGAATAACGGGAAAGGTGGATTGTATAAAACGAAGTGTGAGGATATTAATGATACCGGAGACTGTTTAATTATCACAGTACCATATACTAAAACTTCACACGTTGATTCACACTTCCCTCACATATCTGAATTTACCTAACCCAAAAAACTACACCGGCAACCTATTTCAACGTTTTTTGACATCTCTATTAGTGTCGATATAAATCAACTAAATAAACCAGCGCAGTTGCGAATTCAAAATTAACGCATAATTTTAAAATTATAATTTCGGCAGCAACGAATAAATTTTTTGCTTTTTTTTTGTTTTTTAAGTTTGATTTTCTTTTGTTTTTTAAGATTGGTTTTAAAATATTTGAAATAAGAAACATTGTTTTTTACGAGAAATGCATTGCAATAAAACATCATGAAAAAATTACAAAATGGAAAATTTCTAAAGTTTAAAAAAATTAATCTAATAGCGAGTATTGCCTCCTCTAGCGTTTATTACTGCTTGACAACGATCTCTCATACTAAAACTTACCGTTCTTATTTGATCTTGATCAATTTGATCCCAAATTTCAACCAATCGCAAAAACAGTTGATCTAATGTGTTTGGTGGGTTAGGTAGTTGTCGTAATCGTCTTCCTACGATGTCCCAAACGTGTTCTATCGGGTTGAGGTCGGGACTTCTCGCAGGCCAAACCATGGCAGGAATCCCAACCTCCTGACGATATTGTTGCACGATTTTTGCAACATGTGGCCTTGCATTATCATGTATAAGCTTGAAATTCTCTCCAATAAATGGTGCAAATGGCAAGACATGCTCTTCTAAAATGTCTGTAATATACCTTTGTGATGTAAGCCACCCGCTATCTATCCTAACCAACGCCGTACGAGCCTCCAAATTAATCCCATCCCACACCATTACTGAGTCGCCACCATACTGTACAGTCCCTATAATGTTACACTGTGCGTAGTTTTCTCCAGGCCTTCTGTATACCCTGTTCCGCCTGTCGTAAGAGAGTACCTGGATTCATCGGTGAACAATATTCTTCCCCAATCTTCATTATTCCAAACAACATGTTCACAAGCACAATCCAATCTTTGCCTTCTATGCTCTCTGGTTAATAATGGGCCAGTGGATGCTCTTTCAGGGCGCAGGTTATCTGCGGCAAGTCTTCTCCTTATCGTGTTTTGGCTTATTCTAAATTTATAACTATCTAAAAATTCGTTTTGTAGAGAATGACTGGTAACAAATCTTTGGCTCAGTGTACGAAGTCTCAAAAACCGGTCTTGAGTTACTTCCAATGACAGCAAAACGTATTAATACTCTTGAAATGGTTGACCGAGTGACATTAAACCGTTTAGCGAGTTCAACTTGAGTGTATCCTTCTTCGCGAAGAGTAACGATTTTAATACAACCTGATTCTGACAAATTTAGATTCTCTTACTGCTGGTGGTTCATTTTAAGGGAAAACACTTAATAACTTGAAAAAGGCCTTTGAAGATTTAGCCAAACGTATTCAAACCATACTAAATTGGAATTAAAATGAAGAACTGCTATCATGTTTTCAATTTACTTGCAAAAAATGATACAAACTATCAGCGTTTTGCAGTTCTAGCGATAAATCTTTACAATATACCGGAGGTAAAAATTATATGCATATTATCACAAAAATAGAAACATTAAAATTATTTATCACGATTTTTAAAATTATGCGTTAATTTTGGTGCGCAGTCTACTAGTACTAACGTAAGTTCTTCTTTACTTCAAATTAATAATGCCAACAATTGTACTAATTTATAATGGCTTTATCAAATTTAATTAAATCTACGGAGGTAGAAAAATTTTTGTATGAAACTCGTGAGTAAAGCAACTTACTTGTTGAATAAATAACTATTCAGGAACGCATTTTAGCAGTCATGTCCCTGTTAATTTCTTTTTACATTTCTGCTTTTACATAGCACTGCATTTATGAATAATTGAGTTGATACCTACCTGTTGAATACTCTATAGTGCAGTCTGTCGTAAAATTATTTGAAATATCTAATTGTGGTAACTCGATGTCTGGATTAACCACTAATGGATCGGTCATGTTCCAAATAAACACTAAATCATGGTCTGTATGAGACACTGAAATAAAGTAAACATATTTTGTATCAGTAAATAAATAAAGACGGTTTCCAGATATTTCGTTTTGACTTACTACCTGCAAACCGTGTGGATTTTTAATTAATTTGCATGGTTTGTTGTAGTATTTGATGAGTGCCGTATTAGCAGTAATTTAATTTCTGTTGATATGGCGTCCAGATTATAAATCGTAGTGCAACCATAGCTCTCGAATTCAGACACACATACACTCACCTGTAAGTAAAATAGCACCATAATAAATCATCTTTAAGTCTCCCGGAGCGTCAAAGCAAATAATGTATTTTTAAAATGTGGATGATTTTTGAAATTTGAATTCTTAGTATGCAACAGGGCCGGCGCGGCGTTAGATCACTTATTAGAAAAGCTAAAGATATATATTCTCATACAAGAATTGAAAGCTCAAATAAACTTGGTCTATTATTAATAAATTACCAATAAATTATCCAATGCAAATATAAATCCTAACGATTTCAATACATTTTATTGTAATATCGCTGAAAATCTAACAACAAATCTAAATAGAACAATTGATCCATTAGAATTTGTAAAATCTTCACCAATTAAATACTCATTTTTTTCTTAAGAGAAACAAATTCCTTTTAAAAGTTTTTAATGACGTAAACAACAAAACATCAGGATACGATGGAATGTCAGTAAAAATATTACAAAACTTTCCTACCTCTGCATTAGACGTTTTATCCATTTTAATAAATAAAAGTTATGCTGAAAGAAATTTTCCTCCTTTTCTTAAAACGAGTGTTGTGGTTCCATTATATAAAAGAGGAGACTTGACTGAGCCGTCTAATTTTAGGCCATATCTCTAATTCCAACATTGGGAATAAGTGTTGAAAAACTTGTCAAACCCAATTAGATATCTAGACCAAAATAATAAACTGGACATAAATCAGTTCGGTTTTCATCACAATAAAAACTTATCGGATGCTGTTTCTTCATTTTTGGAATTAGCCTACACAATTATAAATTTCAACTGCAGTATTTTGTGATTTGACTAAAACTTTTGACTGTGTCAACCACGGAATACTGCTGCGAAAGCTTGAAGTTTACGGTATAAGAGATATGGCATTGAGATGGAAGAAATCCTACCTTTTAGGTCGCAGTTAGTCCGAACTGTTTCAGACTCGCAAACAAGTGACATAAAGGTTCTAGTCTTGGGCCCACCATGTTTTTAATTTATGTAAATGATTTAGGTAAGTTAAATATCTCAGGAATTTTCACTCAATTTGCTGACGATACTACTATCTTGTGGCATAATAAAGACGTCAATATTCTTCATGCAAATATTACTAATGATCTCAAATCTTTTAAAACATGATGCACTGCAAATTTTCTTACATAAAATTAGAAAAAAAAACAAAAATAGTGTTATATTCCTGATATTTTAATAGATATGGATACTATAGAAGCAACAGATTACAAAATTTTTAGGTTTTAATATCGACACGGATTTGAAATTTAATTCTCATGTTCATCTACTGTTAAAAAAACTTGTATTGGATTGTTATGCCATTATAACTACCTCTCGTGAACTATGAGTTTGTGCAGCAAAACACTCATATTATGCGTTAATTGACTTCCATTTACGTTATGATGTTCAGTTTGTTCTGCCGAGTTATTTGTTTATTTGTCTTTATAATGCAGAAACGGGCAATAAGGTTCTTATGTGAACCACATAGATTAGTTTCATGTAGACCGCTGTTCTTAAAACAGGAAATATTAACATTAACTTTGTTATTTATCTTAGAAACTTGCCAAACGGATAACTTGAAGTTGCCTATTTCCAAAACTGAACTTATAAGAGACTCATTTATATATAGTGGCATCAAGATGTACAACAGGCTATCACATACTTTGTTATAGATGTTATATCACAAAATTGTTTTAGAAAGTAACTCAGGAAATTTCTGTTAACTAGGCGTTATTATGATATTACAGAATTTTATAATGACGAGACACTGTGATAGTATATGTTTTATTTTATTTTAGATGTATGTATTATAATGTTAATTTATAATAATGTTTGTTTATATTTTAAAGACTATTTATTTATGCTTTGTATAACAATATTGTGTTTGTCAATAAGTGTTTTAACTTGGACAATTAACATATTCTCTCTCTTACTCTATTTTTTTCATTGAAGTAATAAGTTTATTAGTAAGTAGTAAGTCACAGCGAAATATTTGGAGACGGTCTTTACCAACTTATATATAGCTACTATTAAAATGGCTTACAGCTTTCTATCATCATTGAGCAAATTTGAGTGTCGTGTGGATAAGTTTCAAATTTCATCGCACAAGATAACACCAAAGTTAACCTAAAAAAAATGCAGTAAGAGCCTTTATATTTGCGAGAATATGGATTTTTAGCAGCAAGAACACTTACTTCGACATATATAATAATGTTTTGTCATGATACAACCACAAGTAATGGTTCGGAATAGTCATTTCGTGGAAAGTCACACTTTTTGCGTTCTTAAAAAAACAATCGGGCCTCCAAATATTATGCAACCATTCGACGTCTAAAATTCGATATTCTTCGCTCATGTTTTCTGGAAGACGCAGCCTTGGATCTCTCCAACTTTGAGCCAGAAATATATCTGTAACGTATGTCTACAAAAAATATAATATCGAACTATAAAGTTTTAATTTGGTTTTTTCAAAATCCTTCATCCAGTTCAGTTGACTACCAGAATTAAATTACTTACTTACCATGGATTCTTCATTGATCGAATCCAAAGACAACACAGTTACATGAAAATAGACTATAGTGGGTTGACCTTGGGATTTTGGGGCTCGGTTTTTGTCATAGTGTTTAGGCTTTATTGGCAAAATATCTCTGAGTGACAAGCTCGTTTCTTCTATATAATCTTGAATTCTGTGTCTGGTATGATTAGCGCCGCTAGAATGAAAAATTATACCCATAGGTAGATGAACATTTTTAAATACGAATTTTTGATGTTTTGAGAAAAGTAAACAAAATTAAGTGCTTAACTACTCTAGCTCTATAAGGTGAAGATCCTATGAATAAAAATATAGTTTAAAAAAACTAAAAAACACGCTTTTAGAGCATATCAAACTAAAATAGTATATTATGCAACGATCATGTAATGATGGTTATTAATACACGAGCATTAACCGGGATACGAAACGAGCCAAAGGTGAGTTTCGTATGGTTTATGCGAGTGTTCTAATAACCATTACATGAGAGTTGCATACGCTATTTTTTCTACACCCGATAAATAATGAAGACCCATAAATATTACATTTATATTGGTATTGAACACAATAACAGTAATTACTCGTATTTCTATAAAAAATTCTACAAAATTGTAATTAATGGTATTACTTCGGGTATTGGCATTTCTCCAGATTTTTGCGGCAAAATATTTTTTACTATATTTTCTGCTTTCTCCGATATGTGTGGAGGAGTTTTCTATATCGCTGATATCGGACATTTTAATATTATAATTATCGAAGTTTAGCTATCTACGAAAATTTAATACATTTTGACAACTAAAACAATTACATAGGAACCTAAGACAAACGTCAAACAGCATGCTTGATTGAAAAATTGTAGGTTTCTATTGATTAAAAATCTGTATCGTAATGAAAAATCTGTATCATAATGGGTATCATTATGAAACAGATTATGGGCATATAAGTGCATTATTATAATACGGGTGTAGAAAAAGTTAAAAATTATATTTTCAAATAAGCTTAAAACAATAATGAATGGAAAATACTAGTATTATTGTGAAAAAAGCGTCGGGCGCTCGATGTACGAGAAATATGGACAAAGCGCCGCACGCTTTTTTCAAAATAATACTAGTATTTTCCATTTATTATTGTTTTAAGCTTATTTGAAAAATTATGTTTAACTTTTTTGTTTGATATGCTCTAAAAGCGTGTTTTTTTGTTTTTTAAACTATATTTATTTTTTACTTTTTAGTTCGATGTATTATAAAAGCGTGTTTTTTAGTTTTTTTAAACTATATTTATTTTTACTTTTTAGTTCGATTAATTATTAAAAAAAAATTGCTGAAAAAAAACAATTATTTGTTTTTCAGCCGTGGATGGGATTAGAACCCACAATCGGTGATTCTGGCGATCGACAGACCCGCGCCTTAGACCGCTCGTCCAATGAACGAACTTGAGGTAGTGCGATATACTGACAGTTATAAGCCACTTGCTTTTAGTCCGAAGAAGAGTTACAAATATACATACATACAGGTAAAGCTAATAAAAGCGTGATAAAAATGGGGGGTTAGGGGCTGTTGAAATAAAAAAAACCATAAATAAAAAACGAAACGCGTTATCAACATGAAATTTTTATAAAAAAATCAAGCTCTATAAGGGAATGAAGCTTATTGATTCTAAAAAAATCTGAATAAAGGTGGGGGTTACGGAAGGTTGAAATATTAAAAAAATCTCAACTCTGAAACAGAAAACGATATCAAATTGAAGTCTTCATAAAAATCAAGCTTTATAAGGCGATGACGTCTATTGGTTCTGAAAAAAAAAATCTGAATAAAAATGGGCGGTTAAGGGGGTATGTTAAACTGTGAAGTGTAAAATATAGAATGCCTAGAATTATATAGCCTCGTTCTATTTTGATATTTGCATCCTACTATTTTCATTCTCTCAAGTATGTCCTGTCATTTGTACTTTATAATCATCAAAGATGAATTTTTGGAGGGGGGGGGGCATTTTAGTTAACGTCAGACAACTCAAAGTTGTAAATAATATCGGTTATGAAAACGAACGTACCTCCAGCTGAAAATTTACGTACCATCTCTTTGATGAGGTATGCAAATCGTCAGAGGGCTAAGCCACTGCCAAAGGAATGTCAGACGCTCTCAAAATTGTAATTTATTATTATTATTATTATTATATTATTTATTATTTTTTGTTACCTCCGTCTGACGTTTTAACATATCATGGAGACACATATTATGATCGTCAGTCGGAAAGCCTCTACAAAATCCCCCCGGACGCGCTTCATATTATATCTATTTGATGTCCCACAAGCCAAGTTATTATAGCAGTGCACGTGGCACTCGTCCACTTATTGCGAAAGGCAAAATTGTAGCATACATTTTTTGCGAATTTGAAGAGTTTTATCACACTTAGTTTAGTTTATCCGCCTCTGAAAAATATGAAGCACAATATACAAAATAATTTTCAGATACCATTTATTTATTGTTATATATCACATTTTAAATTTAATTAATTAGGTCAAAAACAAAGCAAATTTAAAATTATATACACAGTTGAATAGAGAATTAAACACTCTTTCAAATGCAGTATTAGTCGATCTTTTTTGTGATTTAAAATTTTCAAGGGGGTAACTATCCTTCACAAGGGGGTGAAATTAGTGTGCATATTTTATTGCGGAAATGCTATCATTAGAGTAAATATTTAATTGCGGAAATGTTTTCATTAGAAATGTGTTTTATCACAAATAAAAATCATTTTAACTGAATAGTTTACCGTACCGAAGTTAGAAGGGGAGGGAGTATGTAATTTTCGACCTGGATACTACAAAAAAAATAACGTGATAACATGAAATATGTTAAAATTAATTAATGAAAATTACCTTTGATTTTATAATTAGGCATTCCAAACAACATGGTTGTCCGTAGATAATGACAGACCACTCTCAGGCACATGATCAGTTATGATATTTTAACACTGTGGGCCTGGTGATTTGACAGGGTCAATGATATAGATAGTTATATAGATTGATCATCCATGTTTTTAAAAATAAACATAAAAGCGTATGCTTTGAAATAAAGATGTAATTATTTTTTTTAATATATTCAAAGGCCGGAAAAAGGTTTTAAAACACAGTTTTGCTAGACCGATTCAAATTAATGACCACCAATAATGACGCTCTCTAACGACCCGCTTTGAGCAATCTATATAACTATTAGGGTGTATTATTTTTAAGCAACTTTTTTTTTCAACTAAAAAACAGGCTAAAAACTTTCAGGAAGGTGAAAAAAGAATCCTCTAAAAATTTGAGCTCTTAATATTATCATTTAGTGTAATTTCATACATTTGCAACTTTAAGTTTGAATATTTTCAGAACGGCTCACTCTATGAAAAAAATAAATTAGAACTTTTTGTAGAGCGTTCAATTTCCTACCAAAATAATTTTTCACTTTATTTTTACTATGCTCAAATAACAAGCTACAAAAATAAGATGGAAAATGGAAAGTTAGAAACAGGCACCACTAAATGATAATATTAAGAGCTTAAATTTTTAAAGGCTTCTTTTTTCACCTTCCTGAAAGTTTTAAGCCTGTTTTTTAGTTGAAAAAAAAAAGTTGCTCAAAAATGACACACCCTAATGTATAATTGACAATGTCAATGACAACAGGCTCAGAGGGTTGCCATATCTAAACTGGCAGCATTTTGACAGGTCGTTGGAATGCCTAACAGTATTTTAAAATTTAAGAACTGTTTATGTTTAAGGTTATAAAATTGACTTTAATTATGTTTTCATTGAATGATAGTGTACTACAAATAATAATTATTATAGTTAATGTTTTAAACGAATTTACGACGCCTATATTCTCATTTATAACATTTTTTTTATCTCGAAGAGGGGAGGGTATGGACATGGCCTCTACCCTGGAGCCGCACTCGATAATCATTCTGCTTAATCTTACGTATATTTAGTTTAAATACTTCTTTAGTTGAAATATCCTTGTAACGTACCACCACATCGGTAGCTTTTTCATACATTCATCACTGATTTAAGCTCTCAAATATATAAAAATGCATATTTTTCAAAATTCTTCTTTTGTTCTGTTATTATTAGTTTTTTCGGACAAAAAGTGGTAGTTTAGTTTAATATTTTAGCGTACCTCGTAGTATACAAATATCAAATCCGTTTACAAAACTCTTAAGGTCACTTAGAGTTTAGAATCCCTTTTCAACGTCCTTTAATTACTAGTACAGTTGAAGGAAAACCACAACCTCTCTCTTTTTCATTACATATTTTATAACGCACGAACTTTTTATTGCGATAAACATATTTAATCATTAAAATCGTTTAAAAAATTGAGACTAAGATCGCGTTAGTTTTCCCTCCTGTGTTTAAAAAAAATATCTTGGTCTATGTACCAATACTATTGTGGAGGAGACCTTGAGTGTCAAGAATCAGATATCTAAGAACAAAGTATTGACCAATATCCTCTTGGCCATATAGCGTAATTTACCATTTCAGACAAACGCTGAATAAGAGTTTTTAAAATCAACTTAATTTATAAATTCGTAATTTTTGCATAAATAATGCCGATGACTGAATGTAAAATTTATATGCAAAACAGTATCGAGGTGTGGACCTTACATAATTCCGATACTTCTTTTTTTTTTCTCTAAAAATGTAGTAAAACTTACAATTTATGCGATCCCAGAACATTCAATAATGCATCACACGTTAAAAGAAATATTATTACAAAATACATTTTACGCACGGCACAATTAGTTGAGAACTAAGCATTCCAGCTCGTCTATCCCTAATCAAATTATAGTATTAAAGTATTATCGGTTACATTGACACAATTGGTACATTTTATATTGCATTATAATTCCACAGCCTGGGTACTGATACGCGCATTTTATTTTAACAAATTAGACATTGATAATCTTGCCCTTATATGCTTTATTTTCATCAAATAAAGAAACTATCAATAAATCTGTAGAAAGCTTCCTAATCAGGTCATTGCAAAGGTCATCAGATATCCCAAAGACACTTAGATGTCTTCTAAAACTGTAATGTCCCGTAAAGGGTTCTATTACTGTATTGAGTTCATTTCGGCCAAGGTTAAGAAGTTTATTTTGTCTATTGGATGGTTACCTAGGTCCTCCCTTATTTCACATGATAAATCGTTACTACAGTAACGTTTAACATTATATATTATCTTGATTTAAATAAAAACATGTATAGTTTATTCTCAAACCTCAAACTATGTATATTTTGCAATAGCTAATAACAATATAAATTTCTTAGTTTATCTCTTTAATCTCCTTGAATTCTTTTTTAGCCTCTGTCGATGTCCCTGTATCGATTTCTTCTCTTAGAGAACTTCCATCTTCTTTTACAACTTCTTCGAAAATTGCATCGATCATATTATCGATTTGTTCTAAATGTTGTTCGTCTTCGTCTTTTTGATCTTGACTTGTGCCATTGAAGCTTTCGTTATTCAAAATATTTTCTTCGAAAGTTTTTTTTAAATTGTCGTAACGGCCTTTTAAATCCCATTTGGTTCTGGAAGGTGATTGCCTCGCGTGGGTCCTTGGATTGCTTTCGATAGAGTCATCGCTTCCTCTTCTTTTGTTTCGTCTGCAAATTTTGTAACAACCTCCAAACCATTCTATTACCAAAGCTCCTCCTCCAATGACGAAGCCTATTGCCAGAAGTAAGAACATACCTTGAGTATCTTCGAGGCTCAGTGCCCTGTCTTCATAAGACAGGGTTTTTAAACTAGTTGCAGAATTGGCCTAAAAATAATGTTTAGTATATTTGATTGATGATTTATATCGATGTACTTTTACTTACTGAAAGTAATTTCCCTGTAGCACTCCTCATCATCTCCCATTCTACATCAGATTTAATTTTGGCCATAATTCCCGCTTCTCTAATCCATACAATTCCTTTGTTAAGAATTTCAGCGTATACTGAGTTGGATGGGTAAGCTAATGCAACACTAAAAGGTACGAAACATTCTTTGCTGATATGCAAAACTGACCGTTTACCTCTAAAATACAAAATGGAATATTAGCTAAATTAAATTGATGACGTTCTATCTATTTATCTGAATTAGGGTGTATTTCAAAGCCCACTTGTACTGAAGCTCTAAGATTATTGTACCCCTCTCAGTTTCTACCCCATCATGTTAATATGCTTAATGAATTCAAGAATATGTCTAATGGGCGCTTTCGACATTTCTTCAAGTTTCGGGTGTTATATCCTGAAATATCATTCCTGTATGTGAATAGAAGTTTCGTCCTCCTCTTCTTATATTCTACATATCAGATATCCTTAAGAGATTAAAGTTTCTTCATAGGTCGCAGTGTTTCGTAAAGAGGCATATTGTGGTCTTTACTTTGTTCCTGCTAAGGTTTAAAAGTTGATTTTGACTGCTCTTGAATGGGCCCTCTATGAATATTCTAGACTACCTGAGTCCAGCAAGTTCCAACTAAAGCTTTTAGTGCTCTCTATTTAGCTGTTCTATTAGTATCCCTTTAACATATTAATATGAACTATCACATGTGGGTTCTGGTCCAATTAGAATTTTTTCAGCAGCCTTCCTGGCTAGGAGGACTGCTTTCTTTAAGAGTGGCCTTGTTATGTTATGCCCTGGCCTGGCGGGATTGTTGACAATTCAATATTAATTTGGATTGTACTTCTATCCTTTTCATTTCTTTAAGGGCTGCCTGACTTTTTGTCATAATAAAGACTCTCCTATCTCTAATCTGATGAGTATTTATCATAACCTTGGCACAGACATTTATTGCTGTTTCTTCAGCCTGAAATTAAAGATATTAGAACATACCTTGTGCTCATATTCGTCCTAACGATATAATCTAGTTGTGATCTAGAACCAAGAAAAGCGTATCTCCAAAAAGACGTTTTTGTAGTATTCCTTAATCCTTCTTCTACTGTAGTTACCAAATCTAAACTTTTCATGAGTTTTACAGCTACTTCATCGGAAGAATTTTGAAATAAGTATTGCCATTCCCCTTTATCTAAAAACAAATATTATACCTAGTTCATTTGGATATAATTTTTCAATTTATGTAGTGAATTACCTAGCGTGCCAATTTGATACCACCCGCTTAGCAGCTGTTCTGCACTATCTATTACAGAAGGATATATTGGTAATGTTACAAACGCTATAATAGAACCAGTATAGCAGGCAGTTATGATTATAGTAAAAATCCAGTAAAAACCTAAAAGAATCAGGCAATTAGTAACATTCCTATTAAGTCGCTGGCTGATTGAGAAATGTATTAAAACACCGATGACATTAAATAGGCGTGAGACCAGTCACCGTTTGGACCCATCTATACAGTGGAATGTATTAGGTAAATGAATGAGAAGGAATAGGGCATCCAAATAGTGGCACAATAAGCCCTTGAGACCGCCACTAAGCTTGAACCTCGGAGCCGGGGAAGCAGGCTGGAACCCCTTAAAGAGGAAGCAGAGCCCACGTAACAATTTTAAGACACTTTAAATTTTAGGTTTTAAAAGTGCTTTAGTACGTTTAATGAAACGATATTGGTTTTAAGGTTATCTTAAGATAAAATAAAAGTTCTTAAATACCACTTATTCTTATGCAAAGAATTTAATGCACTCTTTAAATAAAAAAAATGTTTGCTCTTAATGGCCTATTTATCTTATACTGGTTTTATAATACTCTTGACATTGGCTATTTTAAAACTAATTTGCTATTTTAAAACTAATTTGTTATTTTAAAGAATTAAATAGCAAGTTGGTTTTAAAACAATCCATTTTAGAACAAACAGTTATAATGTAGTTTTATGGAATACTCTTGATATATTCATTAAAAACCTTTAAGAAAACTATTTTATCTTAAGCCTATATACTTAATAAAATTCTCCATTCTAACCCAATGAAAAAATGTTTACCTTTTAAAGAGTACATTAAAAATATTTTAAAGTTAAAAAATTTTAATTTAGTCAATTTGGTTAAAAGACATGCCTTTTGGATTTTAATTAATCGTCTCAATAAGCTGATTTAAAGTAACAAAATGTAACAGTAATATGCTAAATTAAATTGGGTAGGTACATAAATATGAAAATGCATCAAATTTAACAATCAAAAAACCGGCAAAATTTGTAAGGTTAAGATTTTATTCGTGCAGAATGAGGCTACGAATTTAAATATATTAAAGCAACTAGGTTTTAAAATAAAATGTAAACAGAAACAGACGTTCTGCGAGAATAAAGTGGTAAGTAAAACATTGTTTTAAATCTATTAAGATTTATAATGTAAATTTTCAATCAGTTTTAATCTAGATCACGCTATGTTCTATATGAAATACAGGCTCCGCCTTGATGGACAATTTCAATAGTATAGTTTTAAAACAACCATGAAAATCGCAATAAGAGCATTAGTGTTACTTGGGAGGGTAAATAAAAATACGAAAATTATATTTACCTATCAGTAATTTTGTAGCATTCTTATCAGCTTTACCCCAGGATCCTTTTCCAGAAAAAGTGAAACAGTTTGTAAAAGTACCGAAAACGTACCAAAACATATTTTCGATTTCTGCAGGATTATCTATTAAGTGTCTGAGGGTTAGTTTATCAGAAAACGCTAATGGAATTATTGCACCTATATAAATTATGACCAAGGCCAACCAAACTGACCAATGTAAGGGACCCAATATAGCTCGATATCTAAAAAAAACATTTTGGATATAATAATAAAAAAGCACAATACAGAAAAAAATTATATTAAAGCGACTAAAATGTAAATACACCTCTGTGTCGTCAGCATAAGTTAGAACACTGCATTATTGTATTGAATTAATATCTACAGTATAAAATAATGAATCAGAAAGGTCCAAACATTGACCTTTGTGAAACTCTGGAAAAAATTTCAATTTTGGTAGAGGTTTTTCATTATTTTTTTGTGACCTACCAAGTGAATAAGACCAAATGAAAAACAATATATTTAAATTTAGCACAAATTAATTCATAATTAATAGTATTAAAGACTTAAGAAAAATTTAGTAAAACTAAAACCGGGTTAAGACTAGTTAGTAACAACAGAGTTCCAGTAGAGAAATCACACGTACACTTTGTTTTTCGGGAAGAATACATTTGAATGGTCTAGGGAAAAATATGATAAACGACAATTTCATTATTTTAGTGTTTCAGAATATTATAGTAGCCGTTTTTTGTCTTTCCTGTAAAATTAGCAAAATGGCGCTTATCATGTTTTTTCCCTGGACCCTTCATTTGGTTGTAAATAATGCGCTCAAAAATTTTAGAAAGTGATGGTAATTACTGATTTTCCTAAGATCAAAAAAACTTTGAGGATCCATAATTTGGGCAAAGGTTTATCAATTGCAATCTTCCAATCATTAGGTAAATAAGATACTTCAATAAAAATTTTACCTAGGTAAAGCTGTCGAAGCAAGTGATATAAATGAAGCACAGTCTCGTGAATGCCATGTGGTTAGACCCATTCTACTTATTTTCTCAGGAGTAGCATATATACCACCGATACCTATGTTAGCTTTTTTCTTTTCGACAGTTCTTGTTACTGCTTCTGTTGACCTACAAAGGTGAGCCGTTTACGTTAATTGTGAAACAGCTTTATATTAACTTACCCCACTTGAGAATCTTCCGTTGCTTCTCTGTAATCTGTTGTAAAATTATACATTTTTGATAACAAATCAACCAATCTAATTTCGATACCTTCGAAAATTTTTTCTCCTTCTGCTGTTCTTCCCCTATAATCAAAAAATGTAAAGACTAATTTTAAGTATGAACAGAGAGACTTACATTGAAATGACGAAAGGTGGCTGATGTGACATTGAAACTATAAATCGATGTCCAGAGAAGCCTCCACTTAGTTTTGCCGGAAACAAATCTACTTTTCTTGTTAGATTGCCTTCTTGAAAACTGGATAACACAATTGGTTTACTCGATCCTAAGGCATCTGTATACAGCTTGTGCGTATATAAAATGTAAGGAGCTTCCTATAAATGGCAAACAATAAGTTGCTAACAGAAGTTTTGTAGATATGAATAAAATAGATACCTGATTTGTAGTCATCATTCTTTCAGATTGCACTATAACCAACAAATTAACAAAATACCTGGATTCTTCATTCGATAAAAACTCAAAAACTCTCCATTGCGAAGAGCGAGCTATCACAAGAACTTTATTAGAGCTCTGAACCCCTATTACATCTTTAGATTTCATGACATCTTTCATGAACAAAAGATAACTGACACAAGACGGTTGAATTTTATCTGTTGAAATCTTCAGCAGCACCTGGTAGTCTTCAGTGATTTGTCCGTGTACATAAGCAGTAGGAAAGTTTGTTAATAGCTTTTCTAATAGCAGATTATCATTTTTTTCTGTAAAAGTGTCAAATAAAATAATTGGCGTACAATCTGAGAGGTAAGACTTTGTGATTTGTTTCAACAGCCTTACCAAATCCACCTGGTGGTCACCTTGGTTTTTAGTTAAAAAAGCGTCAACCCATTTTTCTTGTTGGGATTTCTCGTGAGATGGTTGCAAAGCTCTTTTATCGACAGTATCTACAGAAAAAACCGCTGAAAACTTTAATACCGCTAAAATATAAAAATAATACGGCGACATTGTTTCAAGTGCGTTTCGTAAAGAATAACTTTGGCTATAGTGTTTCTCGTAAATTCAGCTTAGATTGAATTTTAATAATTCAATTTCGTTTCAGGTGTGCTTGGATTCATTTCGACTTAATTATTGATGTCCGATTGAACACCTGTAGGTGAGTACACTACAAAATATTTCATATGTTTTGTACCTACTGATGGATAAAAAGAGAGTAGTTTTTATTTAATTCAACGAAAATCGTAGGTTACTTTTATCTTTTGAGTACAAATGAGAATGTTTCCAGCTCTTCCTTTTTTCCACATAGATTCAAATATATAAATAAAAAGTTCTTTGGCTATATCGGTTTAAAATTTTTTATTTCTTAGCACTACATATTATGTACCTACGTTATTTTCAAATTTTAAACCCAAAATCAAGATAGAAAATCAACTAAATGTAGTTTATAAAGATTTTAACTTCGCTTACATAGGACAAACAATATTAACACAAAAAAAAAAACCATAAAAGTAATATTTCAAAAAATAATGAGAATTCTACTGCTTTAGAAAAACATGCATTGGAAAATTTGCACTATTTCGATTTTAGAAATGTAAGCATTCTGAAAAAAGCCAATTATAGTAAAAGAACGATCCTTGAGATGAAACGTATAAAAAAAATATTAACTCTGTAAATAATAAAATATCTGTTTTAATTTAATCAACTATAGTCTAGAGAAGAAAGGAGTGCAGTAATTTAATTTGCAGAACGTAGTACAGATTCAAGAGGTAGACATTTTATTTATACCTCATCCTTCAATGCTTATTTGTAGTTAAAATGAAAATTTTAATACATCTGATCGGCCTAATAAAAGTTTTCGTTTATATTTTTAGCACGTTTCAATGGTTTTTAATTTTATAAACATTTTTTGACAGATAAGTCAGACTTTATTTATTCATACTTAATAAAAATAAAACCTTTTAGAAATTTAATTATTAACGTTTCTATTATAGGTTGCTACAACAAGTGTAAAAACATAAAACATATATACAGTATGTACCAAAATTGTGGAAGTATTTCATTTCCAAATAACCAACAACTCCCCTTAACGAAGTGCCTCTTATGGATATTAAACGACAACGTTCATCTGACTTCTACACCACGCATGCTTATCCAAGTAAACTGCCTTGGTTAAGCAATCTGCTGCAATTTCTTCAGTGGATATTTTAATAACATAATTTTTTTCCTTTTTCTCTGAATCTCTTACAAAATGGAATTGCACGTGGATGTGTTTCGTTCCGGAATGGTAGCGGAAATTTTTGGTGAAGTCTATGGCGCTTTTGGAATCGCAATATATGATAATGGAACTCATATCTTTGGAGGTTGACGAAAATGTTAGTTCTTCTATCATCATTTTTAAGCAGAAAGATTCTTGAAAAGCATGAGAAAGTGCTATGTACTCTGATTCAGTGGTTGCTCGAGCTATGGTCTGTTGTTTTTTACTTGACCAGCTAATAGTACTCTTGTCAAGTTTAAACAGGTAACCGCTAACGTATTTTCTGTCATCTTTATCATTGGCATAATCTGCATTGGAATATCCATATAAAATATCTTTTGAACTGGTGAATTCAAGTCTAGCTTTCGAAGTTATTCGAAGATAACGTAGGATTCTTTTTACTTCTGACTAGTGTTCTCTTCCCGGGTTAGCATTGAATTTACTCAGTGCCCTCACTGCAAATGAAATATCAGGTTTGGTTAATTGTGCTGCATATAATAGACTTCCTATTGCCACCAGATAGGGATTTCATTTGTTATTTTTCTTCGTCATTTATAGGAGCCATATTGAAATTCAATCTCTTTCCAGGTTCTAATGGAGTAGACACAGGTTTCACGTCACCCATTTGAAATCTTCGCAAAATTTCCTCAAAATAAGCTTCTTGGTCTAAAGTTATATTGCTCGTTTTTCTGTTCCTTTTTATCCGAACACAGAGACATTTCCTTTCTATAGTTTTTGTTAATTCTTATTTTAACCATCCTTTAATTTTCTTGGTGTTAGAAAACAAGAGTAAGTCATCCTTATATACAGTAACATTAAGGATTTCTTGTTTCTTAAACAGGTAGTATTCACATGGATCAAATTTTGCTTTAATTTAACCTATATTCTGGAGTTCTTCATCTAATTTCTCATTCCAAACTCGACTGGATTGTTTTAAACCATACAAAGCCTTTTTTTAATTTGCAGACTTTATTTTTATTCTTCTCTTCAAACATAAGAGGTTGTTGCATATAGATCTCTTCGTTTTTTAATTTTGGCTGCAAGAATGCTGTTACTGCATCCATCTGATCTATATCCCAATTTAAATTATTAGTTGTTCCCCTTACTACTGGTGAAAACGTTTCATTAAAGTCAACACCGTGTATTTGTGAGAAACCTCGTATTACTAATCTAGTCTTTTAACGAACAGAATTTCCTTCCCCATCCTTTTTCTTACGAAGAACCCATTTATATGAGATAGTAGTACGATTTATAGACAAATCCACTAATTCCCAAGTATTTTTGTTTTCATTAGCGATAAGTATTCTTCTTACAATGCTCTCTTCTAGTCTGCAGCATCTTCTCTAGAGAGCGCTTCTTCAACACTTTTTTGATCTGCTTGACGTTCCACTATTAGAGCTGCATGCAAAACATAATCTTTCAGTTTTTCTGGCAAGTTATACTATCTTTAAGGATATCGCTTTTCTTCTGAATTTATTGATCATTTTCTTGTGCGTATGTCTGATCTAACGTGTCTATATTGTTCATTCCGCTTTCTATAGTGTTGCTTGGGATACATTGTAAAAAAGGTGTTGGACAAAACGTTTACAACCTAAAATTGCAAAAACATCATAGAAGAAGAAATTTTACCTTTATGACATTCTCTTTTAACATTTTTAAGTGAATAAGTTTGTGGTTTGGTGAATGAACTCAAGTTACCACAGTCAAAAAATTCAAATTAAAAAAATTTAAAAAGTTCTAATAAGAATACATAAGTTGAAATAGATGTTTCATATAAACAAAGTGTTGTAAAATGTTGATAAATGCAAAACCATTATTAAAGAGAAATTAATTATCATTAATAGGATATTTTGTATTAGCTGGTCTCTTTAAATAATAAACTTGAAAGACTGTGAATTAGTAGTCACTTATACACTAGAAGTAAAAACAAAAAAAATGTGTGGTTGAGACTAATTTATGTATTTAATAAAAACATATATTTAACATGTTTTATTTAAATAAAAAACAGGTGATATTTAAAATGTTTTATTTTAGTTTAATATTGTTTATAAATTGTGGGTACATTTGTTCTATATGGTTAGTATTGGAGTAGAAGCACAAAAGCTTTGATTAAAAATGTACTCTTTAAATACAATATTCACTAGATATGCTAATTTAGGTAATTTCCTATTCGAAGCCATACATGTTTTCTATTATAGTTTTCATACGTTTATAATTCTGGAGATACTGAAATATTTTGCTTGATTACTAAACTTTGGTTGTTCTTATTGTGGTCTGCTGTTAACAGTATTGTCCTGAAATATTAAAAAAGCTAGACAAAGGTTTGTCCAACTCTTTTGTCAGCTTTGTTAATCTATGCTACTGTTATTCTGCATGCAGACATTTTTTACTGGATATTTTCTCTAAGAACTGTATTCAGTTTCAAATTTCGGCCAGTTTTAGGAAAGTACCTCTGTTGTAAAGGTATTTCAAAGCCATCCTTTGTAAGATGTAGCCAACAAATACATGCTAAAATGTATAGAAAATAAATCACAAGATATTACACAAAATTATTTAAATTAAATAAAAACATACAAATGAAATGAATAATACCTACCAACAATTTAAAAAGGCCTAAAATAAATAGACTTGGGGAACTGGAGCTCTAAAAAAGGGAGCCATAATTTGTTATGCATCCTCATCTATATTCTGTCAATTCCTGCTCTGTAATTGGGTTTATGACCTGTAGAGTATTGTATTATAAATAAATAAATAAAATAAATAAATAAATAAATAAGAAAATTGTCTTTATCTCTTCAATTACCTTTTAAAATAAACCAAACCAAAACAGCACAAAATTGAAAGTGATCTACTTTTCACGACGTATTCTATGTACATGTGAGATTATTAATAATTTATTAAATTGAAATATTTTTATCCTAAAACATATGCCATGAAAATGTCATTTAAAAAAAGACATTTATTTGTTTCTTATATTGGCAAGCCTGCCGACTACAGGTTGCCAGATCAATGGGCGACTACTATTTCGAAAAAAATGGCGTCCAAAATGGACTCCTATGTCGCGACCCCCTTAGATATACCAGCCCTGGTTTCCTGCCAAGTTCTTTGCAAGGAATTAAATTAAATTTTAACCGAGGAACATATCAAATATCTCTTGAATTGAATTGAAATTCTCAGAGTGCCTGCTTACCACGCAGAGTTAAATCCCATTGAACTGATCTGTTAAAAATTAAAAGGTTATGTTTCTCGAAACAATACAATATTTAAGTTACCTGATGTGCGAAATTTGTTTTTGAAAGCAGTTTCAAATGTAAATGGAGAACATTGAATAAAATGCATTGATCATGTTAAAAAGGTGGAAAATTAATTTTGGAAAGTCAACGTAGTAATGGAAAACTTAATAATAATAAACCTCAGAAAGGACAATGATAATGATACCAGTAGTTATAGTGCAAACACTTTTAAAGATAGTTCTTGAACTTTTTATTATTTTTTTAATCTTTGATTTTAGGTAGCTACTGAAGTGTTACTTTTAATGCCAAGAGATTTAAAAAAAATTAATCCCATTAAAAACATATAATCCATATAATAATTGATTAAATTTAATTCGTTCAACGTTTAAGTGCAACAATTTTGTCAGAAGCATAAGGTTTCTATTGTTTGTAAATAATATAACTTTTTTCATTCAAAATTTAATCTACGAAGTGTTTGTATACCATTTTATATACCTTATATTATAGAAACTTATTTTGCAAAGTACGTCTATGGAATGTAACGTTATATTCCCACTTTTGCAGCACTCCTCTTTTATTCAGACTATAGATAGTTGTAAGCTATTTAATTTTTTCTGCAACGCCACTGGTAATTCTTAATTTAGTAAAAACTTTTCTTTTTGTTTCCCTAATAATTTTGTTAAACCAAACATTACTTTGAATACATACACCTGCACAATCAGAAACAAAAAGATGGGTTTGGTCCTAAACATTTTAGTGTTTGTTTTGTTTCTCAAAGTTTTTAAATTTAAATATACACCAAAAGATGAAATTCATTTCATATAGCTATTTAAATAAAAATATGTTTTGACCGATGATACCAAGAAACTTTTATTTATTAATGTTAATTATGTTTCAACTATTCAAGTTTAGGAAGTAGATTTTTAAATATTTTTGTTTTCTTTAATTTTCAAATCAACATCCTCAGAAATCATTGACTATTTTAGAATAAAGCTTTTAAAAAATATATATTTAATGAGGAGGATTCACAGGATTCCCGATCAATTTTGACAGGATAAAAGAAAAGCCTCAATGAGTTTAAGTTTTTAATTCCAAAATCATTAATTCGACAATAAATAAATTAAACATGATGAAATTCATTGGAATCTAGTTCTAAACTATTTCGGTAACCTCTGAAACAATAAAAACAGATAAAGAGTTAGTTGGATTAGAAATATTTTTAGTATTTGGATTCGTTTTATAAATAAAAATATGTTATAATATGATAGTAATATTAAAAAGTTTTTATTACCTTTTGATACTGCTTGGAATGTCGCTTTCCATCCTGCTCCTCCATTGTGTATAGATGAAGTGTAACGAATATTAATGTAGGAATCAGATCGGTACACCATACCAGCTTGGTACTACAATAAACAATTACCTTAAAATTATCTGACATTTATATTTTTTTTAATACCTACAGTACTACAAAGTTCCACGCTGTTTACGTTCGAATCAGTTGTGGTTTCTATCTTTAAGTTTGTTTGTTCACATTTTCCTTGTATATCAAACACTGTAAAAAAATACATTCGTGTAGAAATTCTAAATGAAAGGGAGGGAGCAAGGAACAAATAGAAAGGCCAGAAAAGAAGGACAATGTTTTTATAAAAACAATAATAAACCAGACAAACTATATCATCCCTACACCTTATGGTAGAAGGAAAAATATTTCATAAATATTATCAAAGTACTTACTAGTAAATTTGAGTACAAGATGTAAACTGGATGGTACTCTAATTCTCCATGTACAACTTGTGTCGTTTCTGAATGGATTTGGAAACATTGGACTAAAAATTGTGCCCTTATTGTTGTAGATATTTCCTCCACATCCACGTCCTTGGTCAGTACTTGTATAAAGGAGATCGTAACGTGTCAAGAATATCTTATTTACCGCTTTGAAATACAATTTGTTTGATAAAGAAAATATTGGATAAGGCACTCTATATCCACATACTTTTGCAAGCACTGTGCCAGTTGGAGATGCATCTCTAACCTAGAATGAAATTAATCGTAGTTTTAGTGTTTCATTCAGTTATATTTTTAAATTTACGAACCTCTAGGTAACTTTGAGTACAGTTTATTGAATAATAAATGTAAAATGAAGAAAAGTATATGCTGATTGTTCTGTTCTCGGGCACCATGATCCAGAATCTACATTCAGAATTATTACCATTACCATTATTAATTCTTCCATGTTCATCTGAGTAATTTCTGTTGCAACCTTAAACACAAATGGTGATTGTTGTATAAAATTAAAGACCTTGATAAATAGTCGACTGTTTTTATTGTATCTAAATTTTGAGTGTTTTTGATATCAATTTGTCGAGACATAATTTTGTCATTAAAAATCTGAATAGAATTATTAATTACAAAATTATATCGAAACAAATTGCAAAATACACGGAAAATTTAGTAATAATAGAAATAGACGCTAATTTATTAAGGTCGAGTTATATTTAATGAGATTATTTCCAGAGCCTTTTATTTTCGGTTCATTTTGAAATACGTTCCACGAGATATTTAGCTTGAAATCTGACAATTATTATTTATATTGTCTTGACCAATTAATAGCATTGGTTTTTCGTTGGATATGTCTTCCAATAAAATATATTTTAGGTGAGGATACTGTTTGACATTGGACAAATCAATTGCTTGTGTGGGAAGAGCTAAATTTTCTACTGTATGAACGTTTCTAAGAATATACATTTTAGTCTTTGGCTCATTATTTGAAATTTCCATATCCAAACATTCTGAATTCTTTTGATTGGAAGTTATATCTCCTGTCCTTTGTAGAAGCTTCATCACAAAGCGTCAATATTCTTAAATTAGCATCTAGTCCATAGAGTCTTACAGGTAACCTTCCTAAAGTATATATTTTGTGTCATCTTTCGTGGTATATACATTACTCGTGCTATTGAAAGAACACCGTGGGGTATCGTTGTACTGCCTAGCTTTGTACTTTTGCATCTAGTCTTTCCATGATTTTTTTTTTTTCAGACAACCGAAACATAATGTTTTCTCAGTTATCACTTTCCATCTAGTGTCTACATCATCCGCCATCATTTTTGGACAGTCTCTCCCATTATCATTTCCATCACAGTATCTACACTGTATATTATTTTGGTATTGGTAATGCTGAGGACTCGTTCTAGTTTTGGTTTAGCGTAGGGAGGAGTTTTGTATCCATCCTTCTCGCCAACTTTTTCTCCACCACCAATATAGCTCCTATTGCCATCCCATAGACCCGCTCATTAAAGTATTGTAGATCGACGTCACTCCTATTTATCGCTACTTCTTCTCCTCATTTTAACTTAAGTATGTCAGGAAGTTTTGTTAGAAGATCTTTTAGTAGTTGATGATTGTTCATGTGGCCTGCAGACTTAATTAAGTGTTCTCATTATTATTATTATTAACTTCGTTTGAAAATTGTATTAGTTTGTCTAGATTGTAGTCTTTTACAAAGGGCATGACTTTTAGTTTAGAGATCAAAACTTAAATTATTTGTTATGGCCTACCAAACCGTTAGTAACATTCCTGCGACTGATGCTTTTGCTTCGCTTTTTAGATATGTTTGTAACTTCGTCATGATTTCCACTTATCTGTAGTTACCTAGTGAGATAATGTTATTGAATTGGCAGTAAAAAAGTGGCCATTCCTCTGGTTTTTCATCAAAGAAAGGAAAATCTTTATCTATGGTTTGTTGTGCAATAAATTTTTCTGTATTTGCGGTAGGATTTATAGGATTTAAACTTAATGCAATTAAAAGCGTTCGACAAAGTATTTTTATATCATTGTCTTGTTCTTGCGCTTCGTTGCTATTGTCTACATTGCCTGCGTCGGTCTTTTCATTATCCTTCAACCACTCTGCAACTGTAGAGGTAGAGTTAGCTCTAGGAAGGTCAGGAAGATCAACTTTGGATGTGATTTTTCTTGACCTCTTTGACTTTTCTCATCCGAAGCTCTAGGTTCTGCTTCTTGCAGATTATGTTCTAGATCTTAACAATTACATATTATTCTCTATTTCAGTTTTTGTTTTTCTATTTAATTTTTTTGTCTCTCCAGTTCCTGTTTTTCCTCTTCTTTATCCAATTCTCTTCTTTTTCTGTGAATGCTTGTACTAGATGATGAGGAACCTGCTTCGAAAAAAGGTCTTTTTTAGTTGTGGGTCGGGTAATGCCAAAATTATCCGGCTAGACGAAATCAGTGGACAAACTTTTGTTAACACCGGCCCCACTCCTTCTTGGTCTATCCATCATAAATACATTATGGGTACGTCGGGGTCACCACAATGTTTGGTTGAGTCTGTTTTTAAATCGAAATTAGATCTTTTTTTTAACGTATTTTATTTTTCAAACGTTATGCAAAAAATTAAGTAATCTAGTTAACAACATAAAACAACATAAACAAAGCATAAAGGCAATAGCCAGTTGACAACAGTAGCCATTATTACACCTATAATCAAGTATGCGAGTTGCAGTCACCATACATGATAGTTTATTTATTTCTAATTTATTCTAACGACAACGTAAATTGCGATGCGATTGGTTAAAATGTCAAAGTTGACAGGTGAAGGAAAACTCATTTATATCTTACCTGCTAAAGCGTACTCAATTTTGAAACCTCTTCCTTTTGGCATTTTACCCTTAGTAATAAAAGAAATCGTTACATTTCCAGTTGAATAATAATCAAATGGTTTGTCATCTTCACCACAGAAAATGTGCCTACCTCTGGGATCAGTGTACAACTAAAAATTAAACAAATATACAGGATGTTTCTTAAAGACGTGACTGACGGACTACAAATACCTAATAATAAATGCCAAATAATAAGAAGTGTCAATTTATTTATTAAATAATAATAACGATAGCATTCTTACTAGAGAACCATGTTTGGTTAGTCCATTATAAATCACTTCTGATCCCAATCCATTGACAGTATTCGAATTTGGATTTTCGTAAATTTGGAGATAGTCTCCTGGACATTTATTCCCACTACCGTCCGGTCTATCAGATATTTCATCTGTCAAATCAAATTCGACAAAATGCAGAGCTATTTTATCGAACCTGCCTCCACCAGCAATTATATAACTACATGACAGGAATGCTGGATAACTGTGTCCCAAATAATTCGGGGACAATAACTCCTTTTTGACTTTTGTGGCGATTAAAACTGACGGACCACAAACGGCTGCAAAATAAAAACAAACGTTATTGCCATTTAAACTCATTACAATATTTACACTTACATAAAACTGGTCGTAGCGTTACTTCTAAAGCGTTGTTTTTCTGCCCTCTGATAAAGAGCTTTACGTAGGCAGTATTTGCAGAAGTATGACGTACTGTTGGAACATTGATTGAAGTACAAAACATGCCCATTCTTTCAGCAAAAGGACTTGACCCATCTCGAATCTACAAACGATTTTATGAATAATTCATATATATTTTCGTAAAATTTTGAAAGTTACCTCTAAAAACATGCAATCACAAGTTGAGTTTGTTTTATTTCCTTGGCCACAATCAGTCAATATATCCAGTTTATTGACAGTTACCACGATCTGGTAGTCCCTAGGAGCTACAATATTCCATCCGCAGTCAAGGTTTGCCAAATTGGGAGAGCGTATAGTTTTAACGTCAGTCAGATTAATAAAACCTCCACAGCCCTGTCCAGGACCTAATTCAAAAAATGCATTTAAAATAGGAGACCATGAATAATTTAAGGTAAAAGGACTTACCATGTGAAAATCGGACTACAGCTTTGAAACCTCCAAACCTATTGGGCATGCTCTCCAATTTTACCAACATTTTACCTGTTTCAGACGGTATTTGGTATGATTCCTCTAGATTACCACATAATATAGCTAATCTATTTTTTCTGTTGGTGTCCAGTTGGTTAAATACTTCCAAGTTTTCGCCGAAACACATTGGAGTGAGATACATGTCCATCTTAACTATACTGCAAATAAGAAAACATGTTAGTACTTAAATAAAATATAAATTTGTTTGTAAACTACTTACGAAAGAATTACTATTTGGTTTTGAGGGGCAGTTATGTTCCAAACACATCGAACTTTGGGTTGATAATAACGTAAACCACCGTAACCTATGTTTCCTGAAAAAGCAGTTACTTCTTTTTCGATAATACTTTCTTCTGTTATTTCTCCACCACAACCTACAAAAAACATTTTTACATAAATAAAATCATATGTTTTAGCATTGTAAAATCCTCACTGTCATCTTCATACTCAAGTTTAAATCCTCTTTTGTTTAACCACTGATCAGTTTGGAAAATAATAGTAATAATTCCTCTCATACGGACTGATGGTGGTACCTTGTCTCCACAATAAACATTCTTGCTGTATACGTAACTTCCAAGGAGATTCTGTCCTTGTATTGTGAGGTTGTCGTATTTGCATTCAGGAAATCCTAGAAAGGACAAGAGAAACCTCGTTATATTTTACCAGGACCTTGAGAGAGTCTCAAAGTGTCTGGTTATCCTAAATTTAACCTTACCTTGTTCTAATTGGAAATCGAAGAATTTAATATTTACGGCTTCGCGAGTAGGGTTTGAAGTCGTTATAATATATTCGCATTTAAGATTCTTTTGATATGGAGACGGGTAACCAGGACTGACGATATATCGGGACTTTCTGTCTGCAATAAATTTGCCTCCACACAACCATTCCCAAGTAGCCTAAAAAGTACATTTATAAAATCTAAATCTCAGTTCTTATGTCTTACAACTAGAGGTAGATATACACTTGTAAACAAATGATTTACCTTAAATCCTCCCCCGCTAATTCTATCGTTGCTTCTAAACAAAATCTTCATTTTATCAGTCTTAGATTCAAGAGCTGTTGGGATTTCTCTGCCGCATTTTCTGCCAAGTGAAACCCATTTTTCGTCATCCCAATGCCAAACCTACCAAGACAAATGATAATTTTAAAATAGAATAAAAATCGTTTAAAATAAAGCCGTACCTCTATAAAATCATTCGAACAATTGTTGCTCTGTTCCAAATGGAATCTACCAACAAAGTTTAATCTAATGTGGTAGCCAGGCTCCGATTGGATGATCCATAAGCATTCAGCGTTATTGGGGTAGTCTCCAGATCCAAAGTTTGGTGAGTGAATGTTTCTTTTTTTATCATGGAATAAACCTCCACAACCTACAAGAAGACATTGTTTATATCTAGCGAGCGATAAAAGTATTATTTATATACCTGAGCTTATAGCTTCATATTTGAACTGGAATCCAACTCCATTAGAAGAAATATCATGTTTATACTCGATCCACAAATTGTTGCTTTGAGATATTAGCATCTCTGGTTTGGATTGTTTGCAATATTTTCCAATTTTCGGATACGTTGGAAGTTCTCCGTTGTAAATAACAAGATAGCTTTTCTCACAATCGTCACCAAGGTTTATATTGATTGAAGTTATATTTAGAACCTGCCCCTCCAATACTTTCAATAGCCAGGCACATTCGTAGGCTTTTGTAGGTTTGTTTGGATAATTCGGGCTAGATATTACACCTGATTGGTCATGCACAATTCCTCCACAGTCGTGGGTAGAGTAGGTAGCTGTGAAATTCATTTTGTACGATACACTAGCTAGAACCTGGAATAATATACATCAGTCAAATTGTAAACAATAAGGGACACAATTTAAAAATCTTACCTCTAATTTAGTTTTAAAAAATGGAGATCTGATCACAACAGGATTACCTGTATTGAAACATAATTTACCCAATGTATCGTCTTTATTATCAGGAGTAACTTCGACATAGAAAGAAGAGTAGGAACAAATCGACGATATTAGATGATTAGATATAGTTTTTGTAGCATTTGTTACCAAAGTTACAGAAATAGCAAAAGTCCTATAGCGATCTATATCGCTACGAACGTGGGACCATTCGCAATGATACAAACTATTTCTCGTCGGCGGAGTTTTAATAATACCGCTCTCTCGACTGAAATCTCCTTCACAAACTAAAAACCAAAAAAAATATTAGTCATTTCAAAAATCATCAATTGAGTATAGGTATTTACTTGTTGGTGCATTAGATGTGTAAACAGCTTTAAACCCTCTGTGTTCCGATCTTGTAGCACACCAGAAGACAACAGACATTTTGTTCGAGGTGGATTCGAAAGTTCCATTGCCACTCATCGAAGTTATTATGGAAATTGCCATATTTACTCGACGTAGATCAGTTGCATCGTATATAGCTATAGCTTTTTCAAATCGCATTATATTGGGTCCAAGATCTATATCGAGGAATTTTAAGGTCACGCGCCTTCCTTCTGGTACTTCAATCTTCCAATGACAGTATCTATTTAAAAGATTCATGACAGGATATCCTGGCGATTGTAAAGTGCCTGTATCGCCATTCATATTTCCACCACATGCTGAAAATGAACTAGTTTAGAGACGAAAGTTATAAATTATATAAATATTTCCTCACCAGTCTGGCTAGCTTTGTACTTCAAAAAGAATTTACCAGGTCCATCTGTTACGACGAATCTGATAATGACTTCATTGTTATCGCTTACGATAGGCTTGGGTAAGTTGGTCCCACAGAATTTCGAAAGAGTAGCTGATAAACGAGTGTGATCATTATTTATAGATTTAATTTAAATGAAAAACTTACAGTTCAGTGATTCTTGGGCTACTTGTCTCCGTTGTTCAACTGACACATAATTATTTTTCAAATGACACCTCGCTAACTCTATCTTTGTGAAATTGATGGATAAAAAGTGATCAATGGGTCCAGCGATGTGCCAAGTGCAGTTGATTTTGGCATTACCGAGATGGTTGTATGAAATTTCGCCGGTATTACCTCGTATCGTACCACCACATCGATCTAATGAGATTTTCGCTTTGAAGCCGTTTTTAGGGTCATCGATGTCAGTAAAGAATTTGATAAACACCATATGATCAGTTGTAAATTGAGAACTGGGAGATGATTTACAATATCTTCCAATCAAATTTGAGTGTTCTGTGCCACCGTCTCTCAATTCTACGTATTCGACGTCACAGCTTAAAAAATAAAACAAGTTTTAGTTTAATCAGTGTTGGAAATCCTAGAACCATTAAACCTAAACCAGGCAAACCGTCAAATAAAGATTCATCTTACAGTCCAATCTCTTTACTTTCTCTAGAGGGAGTTATGCACAAGTTAAAAAAGTCATTGCCCATAACATATAGATATTAGGTGTATTAGAATCATACATTAAAGATAGGTAAAGGATTTAGAATAAAGCAAGAGGAAGTTTACTTCTAACTGAAAGACATCAAAGCCGTAGTCTCAGAAGAATGTATACTGGGACTTGTCCTGATTCTACTATACACCAGTGACAATAACAAGACTGGACATTTATAATGGATACTCTAACTTCAGGGTAATCTCCGATTTAACCAGACGATAAGGTAAATTAAATCATCATTTTAATCCCAGGAGGTCAAGCTGTGTCTCAACCTTTTAGAGATTTGTACAAGATAATTAAATTGTCGCAGAAAGATACTAGAGTTACTGCTACTATTGGTAGATAGGTTACCTTTGTCTAAATGTTAAGTCAAATCTGTCCTCGAAATCAATTCTCAGAATGTCTCCAGTAGGAGCTGTGATCATCCATTGGCACTCTATATGCGGAGTTGGTATATTTGGATAGTTAGGTGAAGATATTTCTGTGAAATTGTCGTATTTGCTAAGAATAATGTGACCACCGCAATCGGCGGAGATTTCTTGGTATTTGATTCTAAAACTCTGTAAAATAAACTATTATGTTTAAAGATATATGGCAATTTTCAACGACATTACTTGTGTGCTTGATGTACCCTTATATTTAATGTATACATTGTTTCCTGTAGATCTTAGTTTTTCTGGTAAAGTCGTTCCACAATATTTTCCAGTACCTAGTAGAGGGGAATCAGCAAATTTGCCATTTCTTATCTAAAATTATTTCTATTAATACCTACAGTTGATTAATAACGAAAAAAAATATTTACCATTAAAAAGTTATTACAGCCTTTGTTAGAATCATATTCTATATTCATTTCTTCAAATGTTATTTCGATGGTTTTAGTAGACTTTACTGTTATATTCCATTGACACTGAAATTACATGAATAGTTATTTCACTGTATCCCACGGTTTAAAAATTACTAAAAATGTGGAGAGAAAATTTGGACATTTACAATTATTTGATATGTATGTCCTATACAATTTTCTGCACATATTTTAATATTAAATATTCTTTAGTTCGTTAGTAACGATAACAGCTCAAAAATAAAAAAATCTATTAAGTAAATACGCTTTTTTTATTCTTGAGTTGGTCATTACTTCGAAAGATCATCTGCTACACATCTCTGATCCCAAATCCAGGGCTTCTTCAATATGTACCCAGTGCTTGAATCAAGAAATTATTGCAGTTCGAGACTTGCTATTCTTTCATCCGTCAGAGCAAAATCATGGAAATATACTCACATCTGATCCTCGCAAGGATGAATTGTCAAAAATAATATATCCCGTAGATTCTCTGAGCCATCCACCGCAAGCTTCTAGGATTTTAGCTTTAAATCCAGTACCATTTATAAATCTAGTTGTTACAAACTCGATTTTCATCAAATCCGTTGTGCGAACGAAGTTTTCTACATCACTGCTCTTGCATACAGTTTTTACCTTTTTCCATTCGTTGTCGAAAAAGTGTTTCTCATAAATGTTTACTCTATCATTGAGTTCGCACATGCGATTCATGCTAAACCTGTTTGAGAATATATTAAAATCTATGTTGAAGAAATATAGAATTAGGTGATTCATGGAAATCGTTGAAAACGTCCATTCGCATTTTAAGTTTGGCGCATATCCTTCCGGATACCCTGGAGAAGTGAGTGTGTAATTGTGGAGGGCATGTATATTTATGTCGGTTTTGTTATCGTTGCTACAATTTGTATCTAAAAACAGTTCAAAAAGATAAATAAATTTCATAGGTAAAATTTTAATTGAATCGCTATTTTGATTTTATATGAAGTTAAAAACGCAGTGGCTTTGATATCAATAAAATACACAATTACTTATTATTTGCGATGCTGGTAGTATTGATGTAGTTGCGCCGTCAACTTCCTCCCATGTGACTTTAAATTTAGACCCAAGACGTGGGCTGTTGTATTCAACTTGAATTAACATTATGTTGGACGTCGATTTAATAGGGGCTGGAGGAGTTAGACCACAATATTTTCCTAAGGATTCGGCAGTATCGTCCACACCATCAAATACCTATAACAAATTTAGTAAATAATAATATGAAAATCATAATTCATAGCTGCAAATCTACTTCGAATGTTGCAAAATAGCATTCATCGTCGAGGGAGTTTATAGCGTCTAAGTAAAACTCCTTAAAGGATAATAGGATCCTTTTTTTAGTTGCAACTGTTATTTTCCAGGAATACGTTTTGTATTCTATAACGGTAAGGGGGTATAAAGGTGACCATATTTCCCCTCTAGTACCAGTCAGTTCGTTAATAGTATCTACAAATAACGATATTAAAATCACAGTAATTGAGTGTATATATTCAATTCTTACTCAAAATATATTCTCCGTAAAAACCTTTTGCTGTTATTTCAGTGTCGCCCTTTTCTGGTTTACTACCTTTATATAGCATCCATAAACTACCGACGTGCGTTATATTTTCTGGTTCGTTACTTCCACAAAATACTCCCAATAATTTACCAGATGCATTATTAGATCTAATTTCAAGATAATCTGCATTACAGTTTTCAGAATCTAGTAGATCAAATTCGATAAAGTTTAGACTAATGTGGTTTCCTAAAACAGATAGAATGTATCAAATGGAATCGCTTTTACTGCGCAGCATTTCGCCTAAATATATTTCTTTGTAAAGTGTAGAAGGTGGGGCTCCACAACACTTAGACCTCATTAGGTCCATTATAGAATATAGGATCTGCCTCTCAACTTGTCAAAAACCTGCTGGTTGTCTAAGAGGTGTATAAAAACAGCCATCTCCTCACCCTATCAAATTAAGTCCTGAAGGTTATCATCTCATCAAAAACCTGCTGGTTATCGATGGAGGGTGTCAAAAAACTACTGGTTGGGGGGGGGGGGGGGACTGCCTAGGGATAGCCAGCTTCTGAGGTCAAAGTCTTGCAGATCAATAATGTCACCGAGAGTTGCCTTGAATATATACCAGATGCGTGGAAAATGGTCGAACTTATCCTAATTTTTAAGCCAAATAAAGAGACCTAAAGATGCCAACAGTTCATGATGAAATAAAGAGGTTTACTGGACAACTCTACACTCAACAGAAGGCTCAAAAGGAAGAAGCCATTTGAACTCGTACAGTGAACGTTAATGTTAGTGCTAGTGTAAAACTGTAATAAATCGTCACGCCAAATCGTGATACTTCCTATATAGAAATAATTAACAGTCCAATGGGGACTTCTTACATAAGTAAGAGATTAGTGTGCATCCATGTTCTAGTGGGGCGCGGGCTGGGATTTTCCACCATGGTGGGACTTAGCCGACTAGCGTTTAACCATCGACGACGTCGAATGAATGACGGTTAATGAGTGAGTGAATTGGTGAGGGGATAAGTAATAGGACCTTGAAATGGAAATACAATAAGTCGCAGCAGTGCCGCCACGCTACAGACGAATTAAGGTGATAGCACTGGGGGCCTGAAAGGTGTAAAAAAAATGTAAAAAATAGATAAGTAATTATTTCATAAGATTTTTAGAATAAAATTGTAGGTTAGTCAATATCGAGTAGTAACAATACAAAAATTAGTATATTTACCTGGAGATATTTGAATGGTCCATTCACATTCCATATTGGATGCATACTTTTTAGGATAACCTGGTGTAGCAAAATAACCCTCAGATGACGTTAAGGTTCCTCCACAATCTAAATAAAAATTAAAAATTGACATAATTACAGTTAACAAAAAAAATTCGTGGACTTACGCGAATCTATGACTGTATAACTAGCAAAAAAGTCAGTTTGCTCAGTTATATTGACGGATATAGCTGAGCCATCGCTAACAATAGTTGGAGGGACTTTTGGTCCACAGTATTGGCCTATTAATGGGGAATCTAATGATTGCCCGTTATAGATTTTAACTGATGCTTCGCTCTCATCACAGTAATACATAGCAGAAATCCGTGAGATAGTCAAAGAAACGTGTTTCGCTATAAGAATATAATTAATTAAAAATAATAACGATCATAAATTTAGTGGATATTTACATGGATCAGTAGCGACGATTATCCAATTACAGTCCTGCATAACTTCAGAAAATTCATCCTGATTAATACCAATGACGCCACTACTCTGAGTAGTTATCCTTGATCCGCAGGACTAAAATTTATTTGTTATTACAAAAACAAAATTACTTTGATCTTAGTTGCTCTCAAACACAATAAACTTACTTTATGGTAATGTAGTTTGAATCCTTTAGAAGTAAAAAGTGCGTGGGTTTTAAATTCGACGAAAACGTTATTGTAAGTGGATCTGATGGTGTCATTGGGAGTGTCAGTTCCACATACTGTTTTTAATACTGGAAATGCTGCCGAGGGACCATCGTGAATCTAAAATTAATAAAAGTATTGATTCTGGATCAGATTGGATTTTAATTTCTTGTATTTCTGCAAAGCTGTCTTCAGTTGATGGTACTAATGTGCCTTATCACCCGACAACATCCAATAAAGAGACCTATATTTATCCTTTAACGATTTGTCGTGAATCTATTTTTACATCCATCATATATCTAATAGATGCTTTGGATATTGCCTTGACAACTAAGACAAAATTATTACTTACCTTGACGTAATTTTGCAGGCAGTTGGTTGATTGGAATAGATCTACATCTTCGAATTTCAGCTCCACAGAATGTCCTTCATCTACGTCTATAAACCATTCGCATGTTTCATTTTTGTTATAATTTTTAGGATAATTTGGTGAATAGATAAAGCCTTCGACTCCTGTCATTAGGCCACCACATGCTAAAAGTAAACATTAAAATAATATAATCGCTGTCAAATCGATATACCATCACTTACTGGTAGGTATTGTCGAATAATTTGCACTAAAACCTTTGCCTTGATAACTAGGATCTGATTTAAATCTAACAAACATGTAATTTCCTGTACTAGATATTATTGTGTTCTTATTTTGTCTACAAATTTTTGACAATAAATTATATGTGTCATCTATTCCATTATAGACCTAAAAAAAAATGTATTCTTAAATTAATAAATAAAGGTAAATACATACATCACTTACCGATACTGAATCGAAGTCGCAAACTGTGTCCTTTTCTATATCAACATCTTGGAACTCCAACCGTATGCTCTGTCCAAAATCTACCTCTATTCTCCATTCGCATACTGTTGACATAGGGTAGGCTAAAGGATAATTTGGCGAAGTAATCGTTCCTGATTTTTTCTTAAGTATACCACCGCAACCTGTAAAATTTCAATTAAAAATATTTGTATTAAAAAATAAATAAATAAACAAATGTTTACCGAATATTTCCCATTCCAGTCTAAATCCAGTTCCTAGTAATAGCTTGTCACTCACGAATCGTATTTGGACATGATCTGAGTTCAAACTGATGTGCCCAGGACTCTGCTGACCGCAGTACTTCCCGTACTTAGTGTATGTTCTTGCCTCGTCGTAATCACCTGAAGTTTCAGCGTAACTTATCTTAAAACATGTTTAATATTAGCACTACACGGGATGTTTTAACGTTATTTCAGACTTAACTAAAAACAAACAATTTTTATAAACTAACCTCCACATAATCATATTCACAACTATTGTTTGCGTATGTAGAAGATCTTTCTAATTCAAAATGAGAGAACGTGATATTTATTTTATTTTTATCTGAAACTTCGATTTCCCATAAACAATCTTGATCCTCTGGATAGTCATTGGGGAAGTTGGGGCTTTCAATGACACCTCTAAATCCTTTGACAGTGTTTCGGCATACTAAAAAATAAAGGTAAATTTTATAATCGACTAAACAGAATACATTTTTAGAATAAAAATACTTAACCTGTGGAATAATGCAGTTGAAAACCTCTTCCTTGAAAAGCTACGTCTGATCTGAACTTTACCAACATTTCATTGGCAGTAGACTTTATGGGATTTGGTGCTTCTAAACAATATTTACCCAAAGAATTTGAATTGATGGTAAGTCCGTCAAATAACTGCAAAAAAAATTGTCTAAGCATAAGCACGTGTGTAATGTATCAAAGTGAATGTACCTGCACATAATCTGACATACATTGTATGTGCCTTTCCAGACTGATATCGGAAAAGACTACTTGCAAACGAGACCCAGCGCTAGTAATGATTTTCCATAAACATTCCGTATTTTTGCTATAGGGTTCTGGATAATGTGGCGATATCAAAGAACCTGTAGGCGATGTTAAAACTCCACCACAACCTAAAATAATTATTATATCATTTAATCAATAAAGAAGTTTTTCCCAATGCAATGTGTCCAACTACTAAAATCATTTAAAGTTAAAATATAAAACCAATACTCTGCACTCAAGTCAATATATGCTGGCGTCCCACAGGGAAGTGTTCTTGGGCCAGTATTATATTTGATATACACCTATGCCATTCCAGAGATAGAAAATAAAAAATTAGGTCCTTTTGCTGATGATACAGCTGTCTTAACCATAGGATCAACAAAAGTTAATCTTCAAAACGGAAACAATAGCGTATAAATCTGGTTTAAACAGTGGCGCACAATAAACTTAAACACATAGAACTGGACTGCAAGAAAGAATGGAACCAAGGATTCAAAACCGAGATACATGCTATTCAGTGGTTTATGGATGGTTCCAAAACCATAGAAAGAACTGTAATAGGAGTGTATGGGCCTAGAACCATTTAAAAGTTTGGGAAAATACCCAAGCAACTTCCAGACCGAAATACACGATATTGAGAAGTGTATCCAGTTTAACATCGAGAGAAACTATCATAGACAAGAGATTATCGTCATGTCCGATAGCCAAGCACTCATCAAAGCGCTTAGCTCTTACGTAATCAGCTCAAAAATGGTCTGGTAATGTCTAGAAAAACTGTAGAAAAACTGAATGAGGTAGGCGAGGAAAATGCAGTTACTCTCACTTGGAGCATAACGGGGTAAAGGGTAACGAGTTTGCAGATAGATCCGCAAGGAAAGGGACTCAAACACCCTATGTGTGACATGAACCGGTCTGCGGTATCAGCAGTAACACAATATTAGGAGAAATTAAAAAAGAATTGGGCACTATAAGAATCGATAATTGGAACAATTTGTTGAGGCTAAGATACTTCTGGGTGAATATAACCAGAAAAGATAGGAATCGTGTATCTACCTGAGTATTGTAACAGGGATCCTTACTGGTCATCTCCGACTCAAAGGACACCTGAGAATAGTATATGATAGTGAGTGTAGATTCGGTGAGAAGGGGGATGAAATATCTATTCCAGTCTGACTAAATGTGTAGCATATCAAATAGCAGAGAGAGATTTACCTAACTTAAAGCCACTCCAAATCCTACACTTCCTTGAGAAGATAAGATTGGAAGGCTCATTATAGGCATTTCCTTGCTGCATTCGCGACAGAAGAGGGCTCAATAGATCTTTTAGGTCGCAGTGTATTAACACTGCATTCCCAACATAACAAACAACAATATTATACCAAATAATAAAACAGCAAAATACCCGGGTCCAAATCTGGACGCTAAATTAAAATGAAAGAAGCATGAAAAAATTAACACTAAACAGCTAAAGATTAAATATACTAATATTATTTTGGTATAAACTTATAAAGGAAGTCATTTTTTCCTTTCCACTTAAAATAAAATCCTAGTCTACAAACAAGTTTTAAAGCCAGTATGGATATATGACCTACAATTATGGGGGTATACTAGAAAAATCAATTACAATTGCCTAGAACTTGTTTAAAACCGAATTCTCAGGAATATAGTTAATGCTCCTTGGTATATTCGGAATAAATACCTGCACCGAGAACTCCAAGTTACATCAACTTCAGAAGAAATTTAGAAAATTGTTAAGAGACATAAGGAGAGACTCCACAAGCACCAACATTCAAGTACTCCAACTTTTAAACAATCAGGACCTAGTGCGTATTCTTAAAATAGTCTAATTTTTTGAGCTTGTGTAATTGAAGTGATGGAGACAAAGCTATGAACCACAATATTGAAATATGATAAATATGTTAATAACAACAGTTTTCAACAATATCCGTATCCCACAAAAATAAAATTAATGTCATAAATTGGCTAAAAGTAACATTTAATAACTTCATGTCTCCTAATTGATATAAGTGGTACTTAATTTGTCATAAATTTCTTCTTTTATCAGATCACGTGGGATACGGGCATTGTTGAAGACTCGTTAGTATTGAACACAGGTGAAATCTAGACTTAAAATTGGTAGTAAATTAGGTTATTACAAAAATTCTGATTTGTCTTGTGAGATTAGGTTCATTCAGGCATTAAAAAATTGTCTAATCAATTACCTAGATAGATTTGGAAAAAGTTTACAAAAAGTGATCAACAAAAAGTGTCTCCCTATTTCTTAAATTTGCATGCATTTTTAATATGTTGACACCAAGTCAGCCATTGAACTCTGATTTAAGTAAATAGAATTAGTTTTTTTACCTGTTGCCGCTGAAGACCAAGTTATTCTAAATCCTGGACCGCTTCTACTTAAATCTGACTTGAAGAAAATATAAAATTTGTTCGCATGAGAAGTAATTTGTTTTGGAATCGTCGTACCACAGTATTTTCCTATTAAAGGAGAAGCTGAAGTACCGCCATTTCTGGAATAAGTAAAATATTTACAATAATGCACTTAATGTCTATAGATTGTTTAATATACCGTATTTCAAGCCAATCATATCTACATCCAGAATAGAATTCTATATTGAATTCTGTAACGTTCAGCATGATTTGTTGTCCAGGAGGTACGTTTATCGTCCAAGTACACTGCCTGTTAGTTGGATATGATTCTGGATATCTAGGTGATTTTATAACACCAGAAGGCGTAAAGTAATGCCCACCGCAAACTAAAAATAAAATGTAATCAATGTTGATTTAATTTAAATTAATGAAAAATAATTTACCATCTTTTTCTGGTACAGTAACATAGGATGCCAAAAAACCATCCATATTAACTGTAACGTCTGTTTTAAAAACTATTGTCATCATATTTGACGAACTTAGTAAAGTTGGTGGTAATGTAAACCCGCAGTATTTTCCCATAAGAGCTCCTTCGCCCAGATCTGTATTATTATCAAATACCTTGACATTATCATATGTACATTCGTTACTTTCTTCTATATAGAAAGTCATCCAGGTTAATTTAATAACATCTTGAGGTGGAGCTATAATAGTCCATTTACAATTCAAATTCGAAGGATATGATCCATCAGGATGGGTAGGCGATGCTATATTACCAATTTTATTTCGAAGAATTCCTCCACAACCTGAAAATTGCAATATACTTTAGAAAGTTTCGTTCAAATTTGTATGTGGTTATGGCTATATCAGTAGGCATTCCTGAAATTGTATCATTTTTTATTTGCTGATGTAGCCTTTTACGGTTGATGCTATGTAGTTGGCTTATTGGGTTTTATCCCTACATTAACCTGTGAATGCCGGACCTGGTTTCTCCTTGCATGAAGAATTGCAATGGCGTGCGCGTTACTTCGAGGTTCTAATATCAAATAGAACAAATATCTCCATAAGGAAACTCAGTACTCAACGACAGGAACAAACCTGGTATACAGATTTATTTAAAAAATATTCAAGTTTATTTCTTCCAAAATAGTTGTCCAATCAAGATTTGGAAACTTACCAACATCCAATGAAAGATACTCAAATGTAACGGGTACTTCATTACTAAATCGTGAACGCAATCTTCGATAATGTACTCCTATCCAAAGGAAATTATGTGATGACGTAATATTGATAGTTCTCGTACCGCAGTATTTACCAATCAAAGTAGCATTTTCATGATCGCCGTCTCTTACCTGTAAATTTGAAAAACATACGTAATAATAGAGTTGAATATTTTATTGTAAATTTACCTCAACGTATCGAGAGAAACAGTTATTCACTGAAAGATATGGATTACCCACTGTATTTCTTCTGAATCTTATATAAGCCAGTTGCGGCATATTTATCTTCATAAACAGCATGATTATATTTCCAGGAGGTCTCTCTATTTGATAGATACAATCCAGTGAATCTCTGCCAACCGTACTTGAATTGAATGATCCAGAAAAATCAGTAAATTTCGAACCACAAACTAAAAATTTTCCATTGATTTATCCTAAACCCGCACTCAAACTTACAGCTACTTACCACTTATATATTCAAGCTTCCAACCCTTGTCGGGATTACTCCCTGAAGAAGAAGACATTATTGTTAACTGATTCCCCTGCGAAATGTATGGAGCTGGGATTTTACTTCCGCAATATCTTCCAACACTTGGTGAGTCTTCGCTATTGCCTTCATGGATCTAAAACAACCCAGAAAAAAACATTTTCCATTAAAAAAAATGAATTTAATAGAATCAAGCTAACCTCAACGTAATTAAAAGTGCATCCTCCTGGACCACTCAGATCAAATTTAATAAAATTGATTTTTATCTTTCGATCTGGAGTTTGTTGAATTTTGTATTCACACACTGATAAATCTCCAGAATCTAGATGCGCTGATTGTATGATTCCTTCAGATTTCGTGAAAGTTCCTCCACATCCTGGTACCCCTAAAACAGAAACATTTTCTACGGTTTTATCGACGGCTTTGGATAGAGCCATTTTCGACCATTCTCGTCCATTCTTGATTGGGCCCCTAACTTGTCCGATTATCAAGAATATTCAAAGAAATTAATCAACCTCGGAAACTCTTAAGCATACGCTCATGGTGGGAGGACAACTAGAGTTCTCGTAAAAAGTTCTGATGAATGCGAGATCATTTAGTTTCGCAAAAGTTGAAAAACTGATCAGTACACATTAATGTTCTTAATATAAATTAATATATAAGTAAATGTCCATATAAATTAGTATTTAAATAAATGTGATATATAATATATAATTAATTAATAAGAATAATAAGCTGTTTAAAATAAATAAACATTACAATATGTTTATAGTTGAATAATCTACCTTCTACTTCAGAATAAGTGAGTTGGAATCCTGGATATGTATTCTTATTATCTGAATGGAAATGGACCGTTACTCTTGATCCTGGTGAATAGAAAGGTGCTGGAGAAGAGCTGTTACAAAATTTGGCGAAAAGGCTGTCTTCCATTGGATACAATGATGAATAAAACTGAAAAATATTAGTAGCAATAATTCAAAAAATTCTAAAATTATTTAAGTAGGTACCTTGATAAAATCGGCACTACAATCTGCATTGTCTCCTATGTTTAGAGTGAAGAAATGAAACATGTATCTTTTATCCAGTGATGTAAATAGCCTCCAGTGACAATCCCTAAAATATATAACCTAGTACGATTACAATCGAAATCGTTTTGATTGACTTACCGATTTAGAGGGTAATTTCCAGGTGAGCCAGGCGATTGTATTGAACCATGCGAATGTTGTATCAAAAGCTTATCACAAACTAAAATGAAAGTATTAATATTAAACGCATAAAAAGAATATTGTTAAATAATTAGTTTTTACTTGGTGCTTGGGTTTTCCATGTAAGCTCAAATCCAGCTACAGAATTGCCAGAGGTAGATCTATACCAGAAATAGAGGCGGTCATGAGTTGAAGTAAACGTCCCATTCAGAGGTTTTTTCTTTCCACAAAATCTACCTATAGTTTGAGCCGCTGTATTTCCACCGTCGTGAATCTAAAAAAAAAACAAATGAATTTCTGTAGTTCTTTTTTTCATTGTTAGTATTTATTTGTTTAAGTATAAATATATTCTAGATTCAACTAAAAATATTCTATATACCTCAAGATAGTTCTTTCGACAGGAAGGTGATTCTTCAATATCAAACTTCGTAATGTTAATAAAAATAACTTTAGTGGTGTCGTTTAATAAAATTGTCCAGACGCAATTTGATTGAAGGTTGACCGATGCAAATTCGCCTGTAGGATATTTCAGTGTTCCATTATTAGCTTTAAGAACTCCTCCGCAACCTAAAGAAATATTAGTTAGCTGAAACTTGATAATGCAATTGAACTAATCTCTTACCTAGAAGTTGGTATGTACAGAAGTTACCGGAGTATCCAGTCTTGCACTTGCATTTATATTTGTTATTAATTATCTGACATTCACCATTATTCATGCAAGGATTTGGTGTGCAGGCATCTCCTGCTAGGATGTCACAATTCCTTCCTCTATAATGGCGGTAACATTGGCATTGGTAAGAACCAGATGAAGCGTTGACTGAACATGCACCGTTCAAGCAAGGATTGGGCAAACAAGGATGCTGGTTGGGTACTATATCTGAACGGACACAACCACTTAGACCAATTCCGTTTCCTATATATCCCAGAGGGCATGTACATTGGGTACCAATTACTAGAAAATACAATATACTTATAACTACAACTTGATATAAATAAATCTTCAGAACCAGGCGATCTTAGCCCAACTTTTAAAAAATCTTGTGTCAATCTCTTCTGAAAAAATAATTTTAAATAGCTACTGTTCCAAAAGTCTAGAGGCAAGCTCTTGATAATTTAAATAAATTCCTATTAGAAAATGAGGTACTACCAAACCATTAGTAATCAACTTTGTGTGTTGTCTAAATGACTGGAAATCTGAAATCGAAAATGTAATCCTATTGATGTCATCCACTTAGATTGTAGTAAGTAAGGCGTTTGAGGAGATATCTAGACAAAATTGTAATTCTAAGGATAACTTTTGAATTGGATTCGTACTTACCAGAATTTTCTGTACATCTAGCCATTGGATGACAGCCTCCATTATTTACGTTGCAAACTCCTTGGAAGGAACAAGTAGTACCATCACCAGCATATCCAGCAGGACAAGGTGCACATACTCTTGATCCCTGAGGGCATAAATTAGTAGTTTGTGCAACAAGATTGGATATGATGGCCATATTGCACCCAGACATTGACTGCGATATGAACAATTCACTCGAGTTGTACAGTATATATTTAATAAGACCCCCTAACGAAAATTACAAATTTTAAAAATATTTCTTTACTACTTTATAAAATAAAATAAACTAGAAAAAAAAGATTTTATTTAATCAGTCTTCAATTCTAGATTTTAAGTACTTTCGCATGGCGGGAGCTTTCGTATAGCAACTCAGTACCCTTGGCTTCAAAACACACCTTTTTAGTTTTAAGACTCATAATTAAATTAATTTTATATTCATATTAATTCATATTAAAATTTATTATTTATTTGTAAATCTAGACGAATATTTTGTGAAAATACTATTATGTATAATTTTTAATTATATTTAATGTCAACACCTTACTAAAAAATATACTGACAATTAGTTTGACAGAATTGTCACCTATTTAAAATTAAATTTTAAAATGGTAGTCTGATGACCAAATATGAATTGTGATTGGTGCATTTCATAGTCATGTAATGTTCCTACTATGTAGAATGGATATGAAATATATTCGTTCAGTTGAAGCCAATGGCCTACTTTTTCGTTTTGTAGACCATGTGAGTGTAGAAATAGTATATTACATTACGAGTGTGGAAAGTGACATTTTTCACACGCGCGACAATCACGCGAGTGTTAAAAATCACTTTCTAACAAGTGGTGTACAATATTTTTCCTACGACCACAAAATAATTTTATCAAAAAAATGCAAAACTAGAAAATCTGGCTATAAAGGTATGCACTTCCCCGAGTTGACCTTATGTATGTGAACCAGAAAAAAACAAAAATAATATACGTAGTTACTTTAAAATTATTTTAATAATTTGTTAAAAAAATATATCTAGGATCTATTTTTAAAAATGAATGTTAACAATTTAATCATCAAATCGACTTTACTATTAAAATGGACATTAATCAATCAAAATATAAATTAGACGTCTGACTTATTTGAGAGCTTATGCGGAAAGTAGATTCATATTCACACACGTGTGGAAAGTAAATTTATCCACACGCGTGTGGTATAAGGCACTTCCCATAAGACTAAACAGTGCGATAGGTGTCACTTTCCTAAGTGGTCGTAGAAAAAAAATATATTTTCAAATTAACTGTTGGTTGCATTTAAAGCCATAACTTACATGTGTGTTAATACATAGAACCAGCGGATTTAAACTGCAACCTCCATTATTAGTGTCACATTCGTTAATATCAGTACAATGGTAGCCATTACCAGTAAAACCTAGAACATTTTGTGTCATATAGTAGGTAGGATAAATTATATAATATTCGTTGTTTACCTGGAGGACAAGATCCGCAATAGAAGGACCCCGGAACGTTTATACACAATACTCCTGTAGCGCATGATGGATGTTTCTGTTGACATTCGTTCACGTCTTTGGTGCAAGCAAGGCCAGTTGATTCTACAGTCCAACCCTTTAAATATGACAAATATATTTTACCTAGAGTTACTAAAAATTTTCTATTTATGTTTTTGTGGTACGAAACTTACAGCATCACAAAGACATTTGTAACCCTTTTCATTGCTTTGAGCTACACATGTCCCGTGTCCACATAATTCTGAACCAGCTGTCATACAATCCACCGATTTCCTACTGCAGTGCAGTCCGATAAAGCCATTCAGACAGTCACATCTGGAAGTGATTATCAATATTTTTTTAATGTGAAATATAAGCAATATTAGCAATTGAATAAGTGAGACTTACGCATAAGATCCAATAGTATTGCGACAAATTCCACCATTTTGACAACCTAGATCAGTTCCTTGTATTCTAGAACATTCATTTACGTCTACAGAGCAATCGGGGCCCTAAAATGATGTAATAAAGTAGGTACAATTATTAGATTATAGCTACATAAAGTGAATTTAAGAAGTAATGTTTGCTTACTTCCCAGCCTGGAGCACAGTTGCATAAATATTTTGAATACATGTCTTGACATGTACCTCCATTTTTACATGGATTGCTTAAGCAGTCGTCTTTTGATAATGTTGCTGTTATATTCCTCACCATTCGAAAGAGTCTATTAACCCTAATAGAGAGGAGATAAACCTTAGAAGACAACCTAGAGATAATTAATAAGTCTGGCGCACTGGCATTAGTACCAAGAGGAACAGGATTATCTACATTTCTTCCTTCCAGCGCTTCCAATCTGTCATTGTACGACACTAATGTGTGCTGATAACTTTCGGTTAATTTAGTAGCATTGTGAGCCTAAAATCCATTAAATAAGCACATTTTGAGTTTTCGTATTTTAGCAATTTTACAGAATTGTCTTGCTAATCAGATGGTACTTACTTTAATTAGTGTTGTCAAAACGTTTATGTTATTTATAGACACCACAGAAGTCCCACGTGCAACAAAGTCGATATTTTTACCGGGTGGAGCTATAACTTTCAGGTCTCCATTTGATACATAAATTCTTGGTCTGAAATTTAAATTTCTTTTTAAAAAGTCCTATTTATGATAATTTTTATTATTTAAAACACCCATGTATACAATGTCAATGTTGACTGATACGTATGTAATTTGTAGTTTATTTTTTTTATTCGTGTCTACTAAAGTGGTCCCTACACGTTGAATGATAGATTTGTTACATAGCGATGGCTCAATCAAAAACCGCCACAAGTCAAAAAACAAAGAAAATTACATTTTTGGTTCCATGGATGCAAAATATCATTAAAGTTTTACTTTAAATACACAAGGAGGAGTTCTATCCCCACTAATGTGGAGCCTAATCGTAGACAAACTTCTATGCGATTGACTGACCTCGGCATACCCTATCAAGGTTATGCCGACGACATAGTCATACTTGCTAGAGGCAAGTTTAGGAATGATATAGTCCAATGAGGACTAGAACATACCAAAAGATGGTGCCGTGAAGTGGGACTTAGTATAAACCCTACAAAAACAACACTAGTAGCCTTTTCAAGGAAAAGAAAACTTAATCTCAAAACCGTTAAATTAGACGGGATAGATATAGAATGGAAAAATGAAGTCAAATATCTAGGCCTAACCCTGGACAACAAACTTCTCTGGAACATACATGAAAAGGAAGTAGTAAACAAGGCCACAAAAGCCCTAATGGTAAGTAGAAACATTTCGGGTAAACGATATGGATGTAACCAGAACATACTGCGATGGATGTATACTGCAATAGTGAGACCAATCATCACTTACGGGGCTATAGCCTGGAGTAACAGAACTAGTTTAGCTACTATGAGAGCTAATATCTCAAAAGTACAAAGACTAGTCTGTGTATGCACCACCGGTGCAATGAGAACCTGTCCTACGGCCGTAATGGAGGTGATCTTAAACCTCGCCCCTCTACTTTTAATGATAGAGAATGCGGCAAAAAGGACACGATATAGAATGATCAGGAACGGAGTAATCAGACGAAAGTCTACTTGCTTCAGGACCACAGATACCTTGGATATGCCCCAGGATGAAATGATAAAGAAGTGTAGTTTTGTGAAAAACTTCAAAACCACAGAGCTGGGCTGCAAGAAAGAATTGAGCCAAGAATATGGATGGTTTCAAAACCATAGAAGGAACTGTAATAGGAGTGTATGGGCCGAGAACCAAGCACTCTGAAAGTTTGGGAAAATACCCAAGCATCTTCCAGGCGGAAATTCACGCCATCGAGAAGTGTATCCAGTTTAACATCGAGAGAAACTATCGTAGACAAAAGATTATCAATTGAATGAGCTAGGCGAGAAAAATAGAGTTACTCTCACTTGGGTCCTGGGACATAACGGAGTACAGGGTAACGAGATTACAGATAGTCTCGCAAGGAAAGGGGCTCAAACACCCTTTGTGGGACCTGAGCCGTTCTGCGGTATCAGCAGTAACATAATATTAGGAGAGATTAAAAAAGAATTGGGCAGTAGAAGAACCGATAATTGGAAAAATCTCTTGGGGCTGAGACAGACTAGGATACTTCTGGGTGAAAATAACCAGAAAATATCGGAAGCCTGCATCTGCCTGAGCAAAAACAGGCTACGTGTTGTAAAAGGGGTTCTTTGCAGGGCATTGCCGACTAAAAGGGCACCTTAGTAAACTGAGAGTAGTTGAGGATAGTGAGTGCAGATTCTGTGAGGAGGAGGATGAAACCTCCATTCACATTCTAATTGAATGTTTAGCACTCCAGAATCCAAGGGCACTATATCTAGGAGCATATCAAATAGAAGAGGGAGATTTACCTAACTTGAAGCCACTTCAAATCCTACACTTCCTTGAGAAGATAGGATTGGAAGGGACGTTACAGGCATTGAGCCATTTCCTTGCTGAATTAGCGACAGAAGGGGGCACAATAGATCTTTTAGGTCGCAATGTATTAACACCTCATTCCCAACATAACGTAACATACTTTAAATACCGCCACAAACAAAAATATCCTTAAAGATGCCTGAAAATCATTTAAAATCTAGCCACAAACTGTGTCTAAAACTGCCTCAATTCGAGTTATTTTTTGCAAAAACACCCAAATCGTTAATTTTAACAGCAAAATATCGAAGCTTTTAAATAAAATATAAAGATTTTATGTCAAAAACAAAATAATCATAATAGAGACTTACAAAATTTCAAAAGGAAATTTCTCGAAACAATAGTATTTTAGTTGTGGCAGTATTTGATTGAGCCATCGATACAACCATTCTGTTTACGCTATATGCAATAAGTGTTTCAAGTTGCCTTTGAGGGGTGGGACTTAAAAATTAAATAAAAAATGTTTTGTTTTACTTAGATTTACTTTATTATCGAAAATTATTTGCACTGCCTAGTTTTCAAATGAAAATACTGTAGTTTATTCCCTAATATTAACTTATAAATACGCAAAAAATTTCATACTATTTCCACTTTCCTTTTTGGCGGTAAATATTGACCGTATAGGGGCCGCTAAAAAGCAAGATAGTTTCTTAGTTATTCAAAACCTTCTCCGAAATCTTATCTCCGAGATAAGATAAAGCACCTTATCAGCAATTAGGGAGGTCTCTGAACGTTTAACGTATGTGCTTTCCTGTATCTGGAGCATTTACATAGGTGTAAATAATGCTCAAACTTGAAATCTCGAAATGGGTTTAATAAAGAAAATAGTAACAGTGGGAGATGGTGCCTGCGGTAAAACATGTTTGTTAACGACGTTCAGTAGGAACGAGTTTCCCGAAAAACATATACCAACAGTTTTCGAAACGTATTCTAAAGAAATCGAAGTGGAAGACATGGAAGTAAGTTTGGCGTTATGGGATACAGCGGGAGAAGAAGATTACGATAGACTGCGACCACTGTCATATCCAAGAACTAACGTAGTGCTAATATGTTTCGCTATAGACTTTCCAGATTCTCTTGAAAACGTACTGGAAAAGTGGTATCCAGAAGTTAAACATTTTTTACCGAGAGTTCCATACATCTTAGTGGCGAATAAATTAGATCTGAGAACAAACCCAGACACCATCAAATATTTAGCGAAAACTAACATGCATCCCGTTACTCAAGAAGAAGGCGAAAAAATGGCGAGAAGAATCAAAGCCGATAGATACATGGAGTGCTCAGCCAAACATCTTTTGGGGATCAAACCAATTTTCCAGGAAGCTGCAAAAATTGCGATTGAAGCAAAGAAAGAACGCAAAATGAAACGGTATTGCAAACTTTTATGAAACAAATGTGATAGTTGATAATAATATAGAAATAGGTAATAAAAGTTATATGTATTGTCCGATTTCTTGATTGTTATAAATCATTTAAATCCACGAAGGTAGAATCTAAATAATAATGTGTACCGTAGCGGAAGCGGGTGAGGTTTGTTAATACGAAGTTTGATATTTGATCAGTGATAATGGAGGTACAAAGTTTAGCCGGTCTGGCTTGTCGCTGGATATTTCAGAAAAGTTTAGAAGAGCAGAGATCATTACGGCACCTCTAGAAGAAGCATAAATCAACTATATAGAAGTAGATGCAATAAGGGAAATACTTAGTAAAATTGGAAAAATGATGGTATACTATTTAAGTTTTTTATGATACCTCCCTCCCAGTACCCCAATCAGGGAGGAGACGGCAGGTGTCAATTATCATTTGGCATAATTGGATAACCTTTTTTTTTTCAATTTGATATCAATATTTAATATCTCGACTCCCATGTGTATTATATTAATAATAACAATAAAACCACTTTATTCATCAAGAATATTATTACAAGTATATTGTTACAAGTTGATGAAAGGGTGCATATAGCATCAGCTAATTGCTGTTCTTTAGCTATACCTTGTACAAAAATATAAAGAAAATACTATATACTAAATATTATAATAATGTATCCAGATTTGACAAATAAAAATCAAAAGAATGTAAAAAAAATCAGGAATATGTGTTAAACAATGTACAATAATTTCCCAAAAAATAAGAATAACAAAAAAATATCGTCACCTTAATACTACAATTAGGTAATTCGATTTTTTAGTATTTTGAGTTATCTACTTTATTGCAACTTTCGTAAGTCGTAGATATTTTACGACTTATTCACTTGTACCATTACAAAGAGCAACTCACAAGTGGATAAGTCGTAGGTGTTTTACGACTTATCCACTTGTACCATTAAAAAGAGCAACTCACGAAGATTGCAGTAAAATAGATAACTTAAAACACTAAAAAATCGAGTTACGTAATTGTAGTATTAAGGGGACGATATATAATGCATAATATTATTATTATTATTATTATTATTATTATTATTATTATTATTATTATTATTATTATTATTATTATTATTATTATTATTATTATTATTATTATTATTATTATTATTATTATTATTATTATTATTATTATTATTATTATTATTATTATTATTATTATTATTATTATTATTATTATTATTATTATTATTATTATTATTATTATTATTATTATTATTATTATTATTATTATTATTATTATTATTATTATTATTATTATTATTATTATTATTATTATTATTATTATTATTATTATTATTATTATTATTATTATTATTATTATTATTATTATTATTATTATTATTATTATTATTATTATTATTATTATTATTATTATTATTATTATTATTATTATTATTATTATTATTATTATTATTATTATTATTATTATTATTATTATTATTATTATTATTATTATTATTATTATTATTATTATTATTATTATTATTATTATTATTATTATTATTATTATTATTATTATTATTATTATTATTATTATTATTATTATTATTATTATTATTATTATTATTATTATTATTATTATTATTATTATTATTATTATTATTATTATTATTATTATTATTATTATTATTATTATTATTATTATTATTATTATTATTATTATTATTATTATTATTATTATTATTATTATTATTATTATTATTATTATTATTATTATTATTATTATTATTATTATTATTATTATTATTATTATTATTATTATTATTATTATTATTATTATTATTATTATTATTATTATTATTATTATTATTATTATTATTATTATTATTATTATTATTATTATTATTATTATTATTATTATTATTATTATTATTATTATTATTATTATTATTATTATTATTATTATTATTATTATTATTATTATTATTATTATTATTATTATTATTATTATTATTATTATTATTATTATTATTATTATTATTATTATTATTATTATTATTATTATTATTATTATTATTATTATTATTATTATTATTATTATTATTATTATTATTATTATTATTATTATTATTATTATTATTATTATTATTATTATTATTATTATTATTATTATTATTATTATTATTATTATTATTATTATTATTATTATTATTATTATTATTATTATTATTATTATTATTATTATTATTATTATTATTATTATTATTATTATTATTATTATTATTATTATTATTATTATTATTAATTATTATTATTATTATTATTAATATTATTATTATTATTATTATTATTATTATTATTATTATTATTATATATTATTATTATTATTATTATTATTATTATTATTATTATTATTATTATTATTATTATTATTATTATTATTATTATTATTATTATTATTATTATTATTATTATTATTATTATTATTATTATTATTATTATTATTATTATTATTATTATTATTATTATTATTATTATTATTATTATTATTATTATTATTATTATTATTATTATTATTATTATTATTATTATTATTATTATTATTATTATTATTATTATTATTATTATTATTATTATTATTATTATTATTATTATTATTATTATTATTATTATTATTATTATTATTATTATTATTATTATTATTATTATTATTATTATTATTATTATTATTATTATTATTATTATTATTATTATTATTATTATTATTATTATTATTATTATTATTATTATTATTATTATTATTATTATTATTATTATTATTATTATTATTATTATTATTATTATTATTATTATTATTATTATTATTATTATTATTATTATTATTATTATTATTATTATTATTATTATTATTATTATTATTATTATTATTATTATTATTAATATTATTATTATTATTATTAATTATTATTATTATTATTATTATTATTATTATTATTATTATTATTATTATTATTATTATTATTATTATTATTATTATTATTATTATTATTATTATTATTATTATTATTATTATTATTATTATTATTATTATTATTATTATTATTATTATTATTATTATTATTATTATTATTATTATTATTATTATTATTATTATTATTATTATTATTATTATTATTATTATTATTATTATTATTATTATTATTATTATTATTATTATTATTATTATTATTATTATTATTATTATTATTATTATTATTATTATTATTATTATTATTATTATTATTATTATTATTATTATTATTATTATTATTATTATTATTATTATTATTATTATTAATTATTATTATTATTATTATTAATTATTATTAATTATTATTATTATTATTATTATTATTATTATTATTATTATTATTATTATTATTATTATTATTATTATTATTATTATTATTATTATTATTATTATTATTATTATTATTATTATTATTATTATTATTATTATTATTATTAATTATTATTATTATTATTATTATTATTATTATTATTATTATTATTATTAATTATTATTATTATTATTATTATTATTATTATTATTATTATTATTATTATTATTATTATTATTATTATTATTATTATTATTATTATTATTATTATTATTATTATTATTATTATTATTATTATTATTATTATTATTATTATTGTTTCAAAGCGGAAAAACAAAAGAACCTAGAAAGTAGATCCAGCCATTTATGTTGTTAAAAAATTATTTGATCCCGGAGCGATAAACTTGTTTCAGTTTCTTTTTAAAATGTAAGATTGATAAATGTTAAAAATGTGGCTCTAAACTATTATATAGCTTGCAAGTCTAATATGAGTAGCTTCTCTTAAATAATTGAGTATGATGCTTAAGTATATTCAAAAACAGAATTTTTCCAACTTAAACCAACCGATGTCATGTAGCTTATTCGTCACCCTATCAAATTTACGTAACCCAGTACAAAATCGAACACATATATTTTGGATTCTTTGTGGTTTATTGATATCATAAAGCGGGACCATATACTGAATCGCAATACGATAATTTTGAGAAAATAAGGCTTTCACAAAGTTTAATTTTAAGGCTGTAAGAAAGTATTTTTTTAAGAGTATAATCTTTTTATTGTACCATAGGCAAACTCCAACAATGCTAAAACATGTTTTCTGAATCTTAGTTCAGAGTCAAACCAAACGCCGAGGTTTTTAAATTCAACAAAATCAATTTTTTTGGTTATTTATACAAATATTTAAGTTAACTTTAAGACAAGTTGTATCTTTTTTTGACCCGATCAAGATTATTGAGGACTTTTTCGCATTAAGATGCAAGTTATGAGCAAAGGATATATTAAATAAAAGGTCTAAATCACCATTGATATTATTAGATGCCGTAATAAAGCATTGAGACGTAAAATTATAAATTAGCTGAGTGTCATCAGCATACTGATACATTTGACAAATTTTTTATAAAGGTATAAATGTTCGCTTTAAATATATAGGAAAAATAAGAGAAGTCCTAGTATGGATCCCTGCGAAACACCCTATCTTACAGGTAAGACATCTGACACGTTTGAACCAATAACCACTATTTATGTCCTCTCTGATAAGTAGTTTTTTATGATCTCAACAGCTGAGTCGTGAAATCCAAAAAAAATTAGTTTTTTACGAGTAGTTCATGATTCACTGTGTCGAATGCCTTGCTATAATCTAGTAATATTAGACAACTTAATTGCCGTTTGTCTACAGCTCTCATTATTTCATCAGAAATGTTAATAATGCTGTATTTGTACTAAATTATGGTGTAAGCCTCACTGAATATCTGGAATAATTCACACGTGATACATAATTTGACTATCTTTATAAATCATAAAAGATAGTCCGAAATTTCCTGTTGTGTATTAAGCAGAGTTGGATTGGATACCTATAAGAAAAAATTATCCAATTACCGGATACAGATACTCACAATGTATCTGGATACTTTACGGATACGGTTATATTCACCCAAAATTGTACTCGAATACAAGTATCCGGGTCCTCTTTACGGATACCTTAAAGGATACTTTTTAGGATACTTTTTAATATACTTTTTGAATTCCTTTTAGAGATACTTTTTAGGATACTTTTTAGGATACCTTTTAGGATACTTTTCATGATACTTTTAAAATAAGTTTAAATAATGTTTTTATAACAATAGTAATAATTTATGAATACAATGTAATTGAAAACGAGTAAAAATACTAGGCACGTATGTGAAGTTCTGGCAAGATCAAAGCTCTAGTCCTGCTTAGCTTATGTTGGAGTGTATATTAAATGGCGCTCGCACGTACAAGAAAAGAAACGACACATTATCAATGATGTCATTCACAGTTGGAGTCATGGGTCGGTAACCTGCAACCGATCGGTAACTGGCAACGTCAATACAACATCCTTTCCACTCCTGCACATGCGAACATAATTTGCTATTTACTGCAACACAAGCAAAGTGGAACGGAAGGTTTGATCTTGACAGCATTGTATATCAAAAATATAAAGCGATATAATAGAAACGGGAAATAAAAAGTACCCAAAAAAAGTATATTGTTTCAAACATACATGAGTTAGAAACTTTCACGTGTTCATGATCTCAGCAGTAAACAAGACTTTGCAGGCTTTTTTCTGTAAAAACTTGCCACTGATCCTTTGATGGTGAATCCCGACTGTCTTTATACTGGGTGAATCATCGAATTCGTACTTGGCGATGTAGATCACAGCAATTTTTTTTTTTTAAACAATGCTTACAAATATTTGGTCTGGCTACATTTTAAATTTTATAGGTGTAACAAAACAAAACTACAAATCATAAAAAATAATTAATTCTCTTTTACTATTTTTATTTAATTATTGCAATTGGATCTTAAATATTGTAATATCGAAAAAATATTTATTTCATTTCCTATTATACACAGTTATTAAAAAGGTAAATACAAAATATATTTCGATTCTAATTAATCAATAAAATACATTAGTTTGGTCTTATAAAACCAAAGTATGATCAGTGACGAGAGTGGTATACATATTTATATTTGAGCAGGGGCGTGCGGCCCATGGAAGCGGGGGAAGCTCTGCTTCCCTACACTTTGAAATTTAAAAATAAATATTTTTAAGTTTACAATGCATAGAAATTAATATTAAATTAGGTACTCTATTTTCTCTGAAACATTACGTAAACTTCGTAAATGTACTAACAATTCATTGGTGTAATGTGTAAACGCACGCACCACCCATGAGAAAATTAATTGTGTAAACGTACACACCATATACTTCGAGTCCGTCGGCGGAAGCGCGTCTTGAAATAGCTGGTTCATCTTGCAAGTGATTTCGCTTAGTGTTATTGACCCTGCTTTGCCGCGATAGTGTCAGTCTGTTTGGGCACGTGAAATAATAATAATAATAATAATAATACTCTCCCTAATTTACCCCCTTACGAGTGAATTTCAACCCCTGAAATCGACTGAACGACTTATGTAGGGGAAGGGACGGCTATTATTATTATTTGCCGTGGCGCTCCGGGGCGACTTAAAGATGATTGATGGTGCCATTTGACTTACAGGTGAGGAAAACCCGGAAAACCTCACCCACCATCATCGAGACGGTACATTTCGGTTTGTTTTTCGTAGTTGTTTTTCTTTTTGTAAAATGGAGGAACTATGCACTGTGCCTATGAACAATAATAATGTGGTAAATTGTGTCTGTGTTGTGTGCTCTCTATTGAAAAAAGGATTTTCAAGTACAAATTTTGAAGAGAAAACGCACATTATTAATTCTAGTAGACTAAAGGATTCTATCAATTTAGAGACGAAAGTAGAAAAGTCGGCAAAGAAATTTACCAGGCATTTTCACGTAGGGTTTTATGAAAAGTATGAATGGTTAACCGGCTGCAAAACTTTGAAGAAATTGTTTTGCTGGCCTTGCCTACTTTTTAATATAGTCGAAAAAACACATTGGAACTCAGACGGTATTACAGACTTAAATAATTTTCACAAAAGTGTACAACGACATGTAAATAGCAAATCTCATGTAAGTGCTACAATTAAAGAATCCTGAAATTTGGTATTAACAGTGGATTCCAATTCTCGCAAAATGTTCTTTAAAAAAAAACGTTCATGTCGTTTCTTGATAAACTAGATTTTTAATTATTGTAAAATTTCGCTTCTTTAAATAAACGGACATTTAAAATAATATATTTAAACTATTCAACGATAAGCGACAAAAATAAGTGCCACCGTATATAAATATAAAAAATAAAAATATAAAAGTTTTAATAAATTTTAATAAAGAATCCCTAGATAAATGGATTGCACTCACCTGTCGTCATATTTTTCTATACAATTTGCATAGCCAAAATAAATTATTAGAAATGTAAAAAAATTCAAAGCCATTTTCACAATCGATCACCACATTTGCAACATTTTAACTCTACGGTAATATACAAATCACTAGTTGAAATCGTATGAGTGAAAAAATTTATAAACTATCTAAAATTTTAAGGGGCGTTATTGATATCAATTACATACAACACTATCTTTCCATTGAAAAATATCAAAAACACGCCATACGTAACATGAAACGATGGATCCCGAATTGTAGGAGGTGTGAGGTATTTTTCTTGTTTTCTTGCCCCTTAACTTATGAAATAATATATCTACAGAGTGTCGAAAAAATGTTCCGCCAAACAAAAAATTTTATATTCTCGTCGTTTTGTCATAAATCGTCTCATCCTAAAATGGCTTTTTAAACAAATAAAATTTACCAAAAAATTACTGTAGTCGCCTGTAAACTTTGCTATTAAACTTAATTTGCCTAATGAAATAACTGGAGTATCTGGAGGAATATTTTGACTGATATATGCAGGGTTTATTCAAAAGGTTGCGACACAGCTTAACTATAAACTCCTGTGATAAAAATAAGATGATAACCACACTTTCCTATATCCAAAATCGTTTGATTAAGTCTGTATGCGGAGTTATATTTTTTGAAAAAAATAGATAATGTTGCGCATAAAAAGAGTAGGTTGTGATCGATGTTTATAATTTTTGGTATGGTATGTTTTGTGCCTATAAGTCTTTTTTGGATAGTTTTGGTCTTCAGTAAATTGTAGGTATATTAAACAAAAATATCGCATTACAAATTTGGTGATCACTTTTTAGAGCCTAAACACAAAACTTTCAATTTTTTTTTTCAAAAGATATTTTCTTTAGAAACATTTGAATCTTTGTAATTTTTGATAATTCTTGAGGTTTATCCAGAAAAAAATAATATGGCATGTAATACTAAGTTTAATAGTGATAACTAGTCTTAAATTAATTTATAATAAATTGTTCAAATTATTCTATACGAAACAGAAGTGGAGTACGTATACCCTTGTACCTAATATTAATGTAAATATTCGTTTGAAATACTATTTTTTTTTCTGTACAGATTAGATGGTATTTTATTCGTGAATATTTTAAAATAAGGATTTGCATAGTAGAAAAACCTTCTATTTTCCATATTATACCATCCTGCTTCAAAGAAGTAATTTAATATTTGGGAATAAAATGACTAACTCCGCATAAATCAATTATTTTAGGGCCGAATTTATAAGCTTATCGAATTATATTATTCACATGTTTTTCAAACTTAGATTCCGATCTAATATTACTCCCAATCTTTTAGCTTCTTCCTTTATTTTGATAATTTTGATTTAGATTAATTAATAGGAAGACTGTGATTACTTGCAATTTTTATACCTCATTTGGATGAAAACTATAATATACTTGGGTATCATCATAAAAATGAGCCTTAAATTTTTTTAAATTTTTTATTTAACTTGACTTTATATATAGAAAGTAGTGTATGACCCAGAATTGATACTTTAGGTACGGCACATTTTATAGAGGGAATGTCCGGAAAAAGTAAGAAGGTACACAAAAACATTACTTTTTATTTGGTAAATTTAAACATTTTTTGTCAAGTTTACTTTGAAAATACTCCAAACCAATTTTTCTGTTCATTTATCTTATTCTTATATTATGTTCGTGTCCTGCTCATGCATGGCATTACTTCAAAAGGACCGTTGTATTGGGACAGGAAACTGCTGTTTTATCTGCTAAAATTTTTAAATACCGATTTATTTTCTTTGCTTAATTAAATACCGATTTATTTTCTTTGCTTAATGAGGCCCGTGCATCTGGTGGAATTCAGTTTCCTTTTCTTGTGTTTATGTTTAAGAGGAATTTCACAACTACTTTCCTCAAAATGGATAGGGCAATTTCAATTAAGTTTGTCCTTTCTTCGATAAGAATTTACCCATATTTTGTGGCAATCGGAAATATCTCCACTGCGCAGCCCGGCATTTTAAACATTAATTTAGTTCTTCCCTGTTATATATAAGAAAATATAGTTACTACTAACACAAAAACATATAAATTATAAAATTATTTTACACTACTCAATCGAAACCCAGACAAGACACCAAATCCCAGAGATATCCACAGAATATCTTTTGTGGATATCCAATATATCCACAGGATATCAGAATTATCCCGTGGATCTAATATGGATATCCAAATGTCCGTCTATATCCAGAATATAGAAGATATCAAATGGATATCCAGCAAAATATCTAATGGGTATCTTCCAGACAATACAAGAAATCGCAGATATATCCACAGAATATATTTTGTGGATATCCAATATATCCAGTGGATCTAATATGGATATCCAAATGTCCGTCTATATCCCAGGATATAGAAGATATTCGGATATTCAGCAAAATATAATTAATACGAAGATTATTATTTGAAACTTATATAAAATTTCTAATAGTAGATTGTGAGTAAAATCGTATACATAAATCAGGGGTACTCATTCTAGCCTCGTATCTGTAGCTTACCTCGGCTGTAATAGAATACGTCCCCGCTTGGTATGTAATAAACTATTAACTTTTCAGTAGCTGAACTTCTACAGCACACTCAAAAAAATCTTAGATAAAGCTGGTAAAATATTTATAGTACATGTATCTTCACATTCAACTGGATTTGCTTTTCTTTGACAACACTTTAACAACCTTACTAACTCATGAGGTTCGAAAAACTATTTGTTAAAAAAAATAATAAACAATTTGTATAATATATTCGATAATATGAGAACAGATTTTAATAAGTTTTATAATTAAATTATCACAGCCTATAGCATTTGATTTAATTTTAGAAATAATACACTCCTCTCAAAAATTAGCGCATCACTTCAAGTTTCTTACAAAACTTAACAATGTTTGCATTTTTTTTTAAAAAATATTTGTATGTAACAATGGCGAAAAAATAAAACTCAAGAAGGGACCAAATAAATATATTCGGATTTTTACAAATTTAACAAAAGTTTAGCTGTAACCGATAAAAAAAAATTGAATTAATACCTTGTTACCCATAGTTGTTACCCAGCCATGATCTGGGCACTACCTGACATCGACTGGCATATTTAGAATTAGGCTTTGCAGGAAATGATTCGGCAAATTGTTCCAGTCCTCGGTTGGGGAGCACTTTGAAGTTGATTTAAGGTGGTTATACGAACTGGCCGATTTGGTACTGGTCGGGATAAATTGCCCTAGACATGCTAAATCGGGACTCGCGCTCTCGTCAATCCAATGTGGGAATACCAACTTCGGTAAGGTACTGATGAACAATTAAAACTGAGTGCAAGCGAGTGTTACAAAATTGTCAACGAATGAACCGTATATGGTACAACATAAGGTTCAAGAATATCCGTTATGTATCTTGCAGCTATTAAATTTCCTCCAACAACTGGTACTGATACAGAGCAAGCCGCTAAAGAAATTTCTTCCCAGACTATAAGGTTAAATTTCTCTGATGTTACACTGAAGTATAATTCGCCATCACGCTTGAAGACTGGAACACGTCGGTCAGATGAAAACATTGAACATCAGAAACATTTGCAATGTAATATTGACTACTTACGTCCTTCTTCGAGTAATGTCATGATTCTAACCACGTCACGTCCCAAATTCCTTCTCTGGTGGCCAGGGTTGTTCATTTTATTAATTTTCAAAATTAAATACCACAATTACTACGTTAATTTTACTCAAAGACGAAAGCAGCTTATCACAAAAGTTGGTTGCAATTTCATAGTATCAGTTTTTATTTCATAAAAACATTTACACATAAAGAAACATAATTTTTTGCATTCACGTATCCAAAACTAACACATAGGTAGGTGGGCTCCATGCTTATAGACCGTCAGATAGTGACCGATTTAGGTGCCCCATTTTCGCATACAAGCCTCGAAGAGGGTTGAAAAGTACATCGATGTTGAGTAGAATAAAAGAAAATTTACGAGTGGCTCTTGGGGATAACAATGGACTAATACACATTCACTTATACATTCGGGTCATTCAAGAAAATATGTTTTTCGGACTAGTGACTACGTACGTTTTCATACATTCAATGGGCTTGTGTGTAAAAATCAGGCAAAATCTCAATTTTTTTTCTTAGAAGATTACGCCCTTATTTCAACCCTTTAGCCACTTGCAACATTAAAGCCTTTGGTTTTACGAAGCCTAGTTCTATTAATTCATCATATAGTGAAAACGGCTTGCGTGGAAAAATGGGCAACAAATAAAGTTTCGTTTTTGTTAGGGAAAATCGAATTTTTCATGTGTTATCCCCAGCAGCCACTCGTAAATTTTCTTTCATTCTACTTAAAATCGATGTACTTTTCAACCCTCTTCGAGGCGTGTATGCGAAAATGGGGTAACTAAATCTGTCACTATCTGATCGACTATTACAATACATTGAAAATTCAAGTGAAGAAAAACTTTTTTCACACTTTTAATAGTGAGGAGTGTAGTTTCATAAACAGAAAGGTTATTTATATATGTAAATTAAAGTTATATTTTATATAAATAAGTATTTTTTATACTCTTGTAGTAAAAGCCAAGGTTGCAGCCTAGCAGGTATTGAATAAATAAAGAACTTATAAAACTGGATATATCCTTTGAAATATCCTGATTCTAATAATTGATATCGTTACAAGTTATAAAATTCATTTTAAAAACTCTTGAAGATTTGCTGATTTTATCATAGTTCGCATCATCAGATCTTGATTAAATTTATATGGGACCTTCCCTGAGGTACCCCCTTTCTAACAATAATAGAACGTTGTAAAGAATTATCTGGACATACATTATAAAAAAATTCAATCGAATTGAGAACCTTCTCCTTTTTTGAAGTCTGTTAAAAATGGAAAGCTAATGACTTTTTTACACTAATGGATCGTTGTTGTCTAGTAATGTTTTGTGTATGTCATTATAATTGTTGACTGTAGAAGTATCGTTAGATGTTGCTTATCACACATGTCTGTTAGTACCCAATCACCCAGCCTCCGTGATAAATTTCTTTAGATGTTACATTCTGTATTTTTTCTTCTTCTTCTTTTAATTTCTTCAGTTCCTCATTATTATGAATATGATGCCCACAGTAATAAATGTTAAAGGGAAGAGAAAATAAACGGCAAGTAAATAATTTGAATAAACTTTATTTGAACACGAGATCTAATGAAAACTGTACAGTCTTAAGTGCACAGATATACACTGTTATATAAAGTGATGAAAGAACTATAAAGCTACAATATTTAATACTGTTTCAAATATATCTAAAACTCTGCCTAAAATACAATCACAGATCCTTTACCTATTTCTTATTACCTCTTAGAATTAAGAAACAGCAAATTTCACACAAAACCATCGTCACTATTAGTTTTGTTAGTACGCTTTAAAGCTCTTTTATATTAAATATAATTTTATAAATTTGTACATTGGGTTGAACACGACATCTACAGTTTGTACACAGAACGTCATACTACTAAAAAAATTTAACAACTTAAGTATAATATGAGATTGATTATAAAAAAATATATTATCATTATTATTATATATATATTTCAAACAGAAACATTCAAAACATTTAAGACAAATAAGTAGAGAGTTCATTGAAAGGAACACATCATCAAAATTAATAAATATTCGGAGTTAAGTAACTTAAAGCCTGAAAATAGAATAAAGTAACATAATCGTATATTATTATAATGGCATAATAGTAGAACCAAGAAAACCGTGCCAATATGGTAGGAAAATAGTGACACTATTTGGAGTGTTATCTGTCCAAGGCAAAATTACAATTTTTCGTTCATTCTCACCTTGTACAACATAGAAATACTTTGATGTAGGCCCTTGCAATGGTGGAACGCTCAACGAAGATGTCTTACAAAAAACCATTGCAGAAAATACTAATGTTAGGTATTTGATAAGATAATTAACTTGACAAGACTTTATGGGTAAGATTTTTAGCGCTCTTAACTTTGGATTTCACGACCCGGATTCAATTCCCGATAAAAGCAACTTTTTTATTTTGGGAAAAATATACGTTTTATTCATTATAATATAACCCCTACAGATAGACAATCCGTTAATCTTTCCACTATTTTGTACTATTCTGAACTGTTTATAGTGGCAAAATTAACAGACATCCCACTGTAGGGATTACATGATGATAAATAAAATATATTTAAAATAATTAAAAAGCAATAGTCGTATTTTTTAACTTTTCAAATTTTTTTTCAAAATAAAAATATTGCATTTATCGGAGTTCAACCCGGGTGGCGAAATCCAAAGTTTAGCGCACTAACGACCTGAGCCATGAAGGCATGTTAAATTAATTATATGATCAAATATATGACATTATCATTTTCTACAATGGCTTTTATAAGACACCGTCAACGAGTGCTCCACTGCTGGTGCACCTTCAGCAAAGTATTTCCATCTTCTAGTTGTAAATTAGCCTTGCGCAAATATGTACCAAAAAAGTGTCACTGGCCTCCCTACCAATAATTCTTTTTCAATCCGAAATTTCTGATTTATTATTAAAATTAAGTTCTTTAAAGTCAAAAAGTTGATACATTGAATTTATCTCACAATTTAGACAACAATACACTGATACGTCAAATAAGAAAACATAAAAACATATTTAGTTATTTTATACAAACAACTTTTGTTTAAAATAAATTTCTAATTCCAGCTTAGAAAAATTAAAATTACATTCGGAATTTCGCATTTACAGTCAAAATTTTGTATCAAAGTAAAAATTTAGTTCAAATTTTGATATTTTTTTATTGGATTTTCAATAGTTATTTAATATTAAAAACAATTTAAGATTTTTATTCAGAAAATTTTGTTTAAAATCAAAATTCCGAAACACACATTGAGATTTACATAAAAATTTAGGTAACAAACATTATTTATTAATTTGAAATCTTGTCTAATAGCTCATTTACATTTTCCCTAGGTTTTGCCTCGAATTCTGATCTCAGGAGCTCGTGCTCATTTGGTTCTACTAGAAACAAATTTATTGTATCCCATTGAGAGGAAATACTTGCGTGATTTCCCCGGTGCCCTTGGCAGAACCTTCCCTGAAAAGCAGCCGTTGCCCGACAGATACATATTCAGGATGGAGCTTGAATTTGAATAACACAGAGTCGCGTTCATTGGTATGAATGCACTTAGAAGAACAAATGCCTATGACAACGGCAGTTTGACGTACGTTGCCAATGTGCACTGTCGTTTGAAATCCAGGATAAATGGCAGTTGCGTGAAAGAGTACAGAGACGCTGGCTTGGAAGAACATGCAACCCTTGGCGTTCTGATCGGCGCTTAAGAGGACCATGCCGTTTCGTAAACCTGGAATATAAGTATCCAGGCAGAGAGCAGCGCTTTGACTGGCTCTGACCATCCTACATGGCACCCTGTTTCGATGGATTGACTTAATGGCTATGTTCTGGAAAGATCCATCCTTCATGGGACCTATCTGCATCTTCGTGCCTTCAGTGATGACTCCTTTTGTTAGAAGCCCGCCCAATACTTGTCCCACGTCACCGGCCTTGAAATTTTCGTCTATATGAAATTCAGGCGTTTCCTGAAAATGATAAATAATAAACGTCTTTTCTATACCAGCAAAAAATTACACAGTATAAATGTCGTAGTCTAGCTTAATGACCACTGTCCATTAAATCTTAAAACTAATTTAATCTACATTACACTGAATGACTACAGATTAATATGTTCTTTCGTTCGCTGTTGGTGCAGTGTCCACCAGTGTAAATTAAACCAGTTACACCACCCTATTTAAACTAATTTACTTCCTCCTTATTCCTTATACACATGTCGAGTGTAATTCACTCCTGCTGCTAATAGAGTGGACACCACATCGCCGACAAGAAGGTATAGTGCGTTTTACACCGTGCCAAACGAAAGGTTTAGTGTCTGTTGGTGTAGTTCATTTCTACACCAATGGGACGAACGAAATAACCTAAATAGATTTAAATCAAGAAAATGAATTACACATTTACATTTGCTTGGGTACCAATTAAATATGATTTTAAGTGTATATTTAGTAAATTGTATATTTTAGCAATATTATAATTAAATGTCCTTTGAAACATGACAGTTCTATGTCGCGACATGGCGATACTATGATGATTTCGGAAATTTAAGGCATGTACATCATTCCTAAAACTTATCTGATATCTTAAATATATATTGGTGAATTAACTTTCAATAAATTATTTAAAAAATACCAAGACTAGTGAGATAGATATCACTGTTACTTGCCTCCTAAAGGCACTCATCCATCTTTTCCTCAGTTTATGAAGAAAAATCGTGCATCTACCCGTTTACCATGGCGCCCACCATTAACAATGAAAATGAACTAGTTTCTTTTAACATTATTTGTTACTTTGCTCAACTGAACTGAAACTGAAAAAACACTTGGTAACCGGTGTTCCACCTTTCACAAGTTTACAAGTATTTCACCAATCTCACAGGTCTGGTAGTGAGTCTCGAATATGTGGTTCAACATACCTGTTAGCTAGAGATCATAATTTGTTGATTCTTGATATTTTGTCCTAAATTTTTTACGGTTTTTTTTACGTTTTTTTTACATCCTGAAAATGCCTTAACCGCCAAAAATGCGCTAAACTAATTTTAATAAAATGAAATTGTCTTAAAACAATTTCTCCTCTAAACACTTAAAATTCAAAATATTTCATTTTCTCATATATTCTCATACATTTTTGAAGAAAACAAAGATTTTGATTTTGTAACATTTAATTTTAAACCATGTCCTTTCACGTATTCACTTATTTTATACAAAATTTGATGTATGCATCATTAGCTATTTCATATTCGGAAGGATTAAAATAAAAGTGTAATTGAGTGTCATCTGCAAATAACTGTTTTTAGCAAAATTGTAAACATTCGGTCATATCAAACGGAAGAGAACAAGTCCTAGCACTCGCTGTTTTCGGTCAGTTAGGTGACATTTGACAAAATTAAGCGCCATATTGTCAAATACAAATCAAGTTCCAGATAGCCGTCCAAAATTTTAGTAATGATGTAATAGATTACTCATTTTCTTATTTAGATATTAAATTGAATTAGTAATAATACTGATAAAAATACTTTTAATCTTATCAGGAATCCAACAAAATACATGTTTACTAAATACAATAAAACAAAACAAACAGAAATATCAATGAGACTATTGTAAGAATTTTATACTATTATAAAAGCCATACGTACAGAATAATATTTCCAACACCAATAATAAACAGAAATGGAAAATAATCAATAAATTCACCAAATATAAGAAGTTTCAACTGACCTCAGATTTTGATGCGAATGACTTTAATGAAAACGATTTGAAAATCAATGGTTCTGTCATTAACCCAGACCCGGAAACATTACATTAGTTAGATTTCTTTGCCCCTACTTAACTTTCCATATAACATACATTATAAATGCTTGCTTAAAAAATTCTGTTTTCCCAAATATATGAAAAGGGGGACTTCTTTCTATTCCAAAAGTCAGTTTCCCCTGAAAATTTAAACATCTCCATCTCATAACTATTCTCCCTACACTTTCAAAGGTTTTGGAGAGAGTTGTAAAGAATAACTTTGAGATCATATTGATAAAAAATATATAAAATTCTTCCATCTACACAATCGGAATTTAGAATGGGACATAGCTGTGCTACGTCCCTATCCAACATAACTGTTAGCTTTCCGACTCCAAAAATGATGAGATTTATTAATTTTGCTTGACTACAGTAAATCATTCGACATGATTAATTACAAAGTGTTTTTATCTGTTTTACATTTTATTGGTCTAGGACCAATCGCAATAACATTTCTCAGAAACTATTAATCTGGAAGAACACAAAAAGTATTATATAATAAATAGCATAGAGCAAATTGAACGAGGAGCAGCCCAAGGTTCTCTTTTTTATACAATATATACTAGTAATTTTAGTAATTTGTCTTTGGTTTTACAATATAGCAGTTTTATTTTAAATGGTCAATAAATATTATATTTGGTGGGTAATTTTAGTTTAAATTGTAAATTTGATGTATGTAAAAAAAACTGTACCTGCTCCAATCTTTCCTTTTCCTTTATGCTGACTCCGGGAGGGAGGACATGCAAAAACTTGAGAAGCAGCTCCAGGCCTTCTCCGCTGACGCTGGATACGCAAAAAATGGGAACGACGTTTTCAGTTAGTTGGTTTGCTCCTGCAGTTATAACGTCATCTTCATTTTTGATTATCAATGGAACTCGTCGGCTTCCGACCTGCTTCAGGAACGATTCGAGGTTTTGGAGGGTACTCGTTGGTGAAACTAAGTCTATTTTCGTTATCACTATAAAAAATGGTACATTTAGAGCTACCACTATGGCGAGATGCTCGTGGGCCATTCCCACTGCTCCGGCTGTACTGGAAATCTGAAAAAATGTTTTATAATAATAGTAGCTCGCTATCGGGACCTTGGTGGACATAGCAGGAACATTTTTAAAAATACGGCATATGACTCCTTGCAATAGGTGGCGGCAGCAGCAGCAAAAGAACTTTCAATAATTCATCAATCAGATAAATAATGAAAGGTCTATAGAACAGAAATACGCTCCAGTCACAATATGCCAATGAATCGATGCCAGCGTAGGAAAGGCAATCATATAGGAAAATTTTGCATGGGGCTACTCACAAGATTTCCAATGTTGTGGTCAGTTCTAGTGGACGACCTACTCAAAATACTGTCCAAAGAAGGCTACCAGTGCCTAGGTTACGCAGACGACCTAGTAATTATCGTCAGGGGACGATTTTCAATATCGGTGCGCTCACTCGCAAAAACAATTATAGCATTCACAAAAAAAAACGGATATTTACAGTACTAAGACCACTAGTACTAAACAAAATGGTTATTCCGTTTGTCACAAAAGCCAAATATCTCGGAGTCATATTTGACAAAAGGATGACGTGGAACCAACATCTCAAGAAACTCGCATACAAAGTCACAAAAGCTTTCTTAAGCTGTAAAAGAATATGCAGGAAAAACTGTGGCCTAAACCCCAAAATGACCATATGGTTATACATAAGGGTGATAAGACCCATGTAACCTAAGGCACAGGCGTGAATAACCAAAACGGCGCAGTCAAGTGCAATAGGCCAAAGTTACTGACATTCAGTGGTTAGCCTGTCTGAATAGCACACGTGTACTACACCAACAGCAGCATGAATATACAATGAAACCACACGCCACTGCACATCTTTACAAGACAGTCGAAAATATCGGTTCGATGGATAGTAGAGGAACTAAAGATCAGTATGGATAGTGTTGGACAAATCCTTCATAATCATGTATTAATGAGTAAGGTGAGGGCGCGTTGGGTAACCAAAATGCTAACTCCGCTAAATCGAGACCAAAGAGTGAATTAATCACGTGATATTTTTCGTTTATGTGAGAATGCTTTGTAAACTGTGATGAAACATGAATTTATCAGTACGATTCAGAATCCAAAAAACAATCTATGCAATGGACAAAAAAATGAGAAAATCCAACGCGCAAGTTCAAGGTTCAAAGAGTGGCTACTCTACTTATAGCAACGAGGCTGGCGGCGAGATTAGTGTACATCCACATACTCGCAACAGTTAAGCAGTGATTTCTCCGATTTGGATGAGTAACCACTGAGAGGTTCCACTATGAGCTGTGCCACCATGGGACTTAGCCAACTAGCGTTTAACCATCAATGACGTGGGGGAATAAATGACGATGCATGAGGGAGTAAATTGGTGAATGGGAAAGTAGTAGGACTTTCAAAGGGTGAAACAATAAGCCACAGGATGCAGTGCCGCCAGGCTACAGACGGATTAGGGTGATATCACGGGGGTCCGAAGGGTGTAACAACTAAAACTATGGCAAGGATATTCTGGGATAACTCGGGACTACTTTTCAAAGGGCAATATTATGCTGACTT